GGCGGGGCAGTTGGACAGGCTAGGTACCTCACTCACATTGCCCGAACCCACATGGTGCCACCATGGTTTGCACAAGTTGATTGCAAAACCGGCACTCCTGTCAATGCCACGGTCACCTTACTCGCAGCCACCGCAGTCATTGCCTTCTTCACGAGCCTCGATGTTCTGGCCAACCTTGTCTCCATTTCCACTCTGTTCATCTTCAGCCTTGTTGCCATCGCTCTCCTTGTTCGCCGCTACTATGTCAGCGGCGTCACAACTCAGGCCAACAGGAACAAGTTCATTGCCTGCCTTTTCATCATAATTAGCTCTTCAATTGCCACCTCTGTCTATTGGAGCAGAGCAGATGATTGGATTGCCTACGTGGTAACCGCGCCGCTTTGGTTCTTGGGTACTTTAGGGATTTGGTTACTTGTCCCCCAAGCAAGGAGTCCGAAGCTCTGGGGAGTGCCACTGGTGCCATGGTTGCCATCTCTTTCAATTGCCATCAACATTTTCCTGCTCGGGTCAATCGATCACGCCTCATTCATAAGGTTTGGAGTGTGGACTCTGATCATCTTGGTTTACTACTTCATCTTCGGATTGCACGCGTCTTATGACACGGTAAAGGACTCAGAAGCGAAGAGGCTGGAGGGCGGCAGAAACAATGAGTTGAGGAAGGTTGAAGCTGCAAGGGTGGCCACGAGGGACGCCGGCTTAGACGCTGGAAATGGTAGCAATGCCTCTGAAACTCCTGCTAGTTAAGCAAGGGTTTGTTGTGTGTCTCTGTGATTGTGTGAAGATTTAATTGTTTTTGTGTGTGATTAGTGCTGTTTAGTTTGGAAAAGGGGATCCCAAGATCCCGTGATCGTGATCGTTTATCATGCGGACAAAAATCATTTGAAATTTAAAATTTAAAATTAAATATAAATAGTACTTAACGAAAACTGACCGTACAATGAACGACCACAATCACGGGATCCCAAAAAAAGGATCCGACGAGGATCCTTTTCACGTTTGTTATCAGCTTGCTTTTAGAGATGTGATTTATAATTAAATGTTGTCTATAAATACGTTTAGAAGTAGTACTTTTATTGTTATCACCACAACTTTCTTTCTCAATTAACTTTTTTTTCTTACAAGTACTTAGAGGGGTTTATTTATTTTCAAGAGGATACGTAGACAATTTAACTCTAATCAGCCAAAGTTTATGATGGGATTGGGGAGGTCATTGTAGTGACACAATGCACCCAAACATTCTCGCACAGTTGAGAATGGCCATGTTCACAATGGCATTCCCATCAACAAAATATGTAGAGGGTTGTCTGTGTTCGAAATTCTCCTCTTCATAATTTAGATGAGTTTAGTGTGTCCAAGTGTTTTAGTCCTTATACAACACTGATTAGTAGTAAGATTTTGTTACGAAGTAAATAACTATCATACCAAGTTTAATGGGAGAGTATTATTTAATTTAATGGACCATTAAATACTGAACCCTTCTTGTGGAGTAATTTTTCAGTGTGTCACATATGTAGGCAACACAGTCTAGTACACCAAGTGTTATAATATAAATGGTTGAATACCTAAAAAAAAAATTTCAACCACTTTTATCATAACACTCTCTGTGCCCATACTTTTTGTTTTTTTTATTTCTGTTTTTATGTTAAATTTCTGGGTTTGCCTTCTCTCATCTAAAACACTCTTCAAATCTGCAAGGGCTAGTAGCTTAAGTAGGTAAAAGCGTTTTTCCTCCGTTTGAAGTTCTGCACTCGAAGTCGTGTGTTTGAATCTTCTCCTAGTATTTCTTTGTATAGAAATACAAGCTTCCAAAAGGGTACGTTTTTTACTTTTGCTGGTTCCAATTTAAAGTTATTAGTGTAAATTGCAATGTTCTTTGCTGATGTAGTCACATATCATCAACTAACAGTTATGCTTATTTTCACAAATCTGGTTTTGAATTATGCTATGAATTTTGAATATATTAATTTTTTTAATATGCATCAAGATCCTTGACTATTATACTTAACCGCCCATACAACCCTTCATTACTGCGGCACATGTCGTACACCGAAGCATTGTAGAATTTTCTTTTTCTTTATTTTTTGTCGAAAGCATAGTAGAGTTTTTGCTGATGCCATTTCTTAAGAATAATAACATTTTTATACATGATGAGTGAACAAATATAAAATATTTTATTTTTCGTTTTGGCTAAACGTTTGATGAGGATTGAATTTTGTTAATTAAGTTGACTGGTTCTATTTTAGCAGTTAAAAAATCTGATCTGTTATCTGAGGATCCGATCTTCTCCCAAAGATCTTTATTTATATGGTGAGAAGGAACCCTAGCACCGAATAATTTGGTACCAATGTTTTAGACTTTTTATTTCAAAAAAAATAATAATAATAATAATAATAATAATCCCTGCATCAAGATTTTCCATTTCTTGGTTGAAAGGCAACATTGTTCCAGTTATATTCTCACAAATTTTTTTGTCGAAACTTGTAAATCCGTTCGATTTTAGGGAAGCCGGAAGACAAATGGTGACCGTCGTCAGTAGAGGTGGTGGTGATGGTGGTGCACAAGGCATTGTGATCAAGAGAAGAAGTTGCATATGCAGCAAAGATGATTTCTTGCCGGAGGAGTCATTCAAGAGCTGGGGAAACTATGTTCATGCACTGTCCAGCACGAAAACAAGACTCAAAGACCGGCTTCTTGCGCGGTCCCTCGACCACCAGGAGGTCGAAGAAATTCGTGCACGTAGTCAGAATCAGATGAAGAAAACCCTAAACTGGTGGGATCTCATTTGGTTCGGCATTGGAGCGGTCATGGGGTCAGGGATTTTTGTTCTCACAGGTCAGGAAGCAAGAAATCATGCTGGCCCTGCTATAGTAATCTCTTACTTCATATCCGGCGTTTCAGCAATGCTATCAGTTTTGTGCTACACTGAGTTTGCAGTGGAACTCCCTGTGGCGGGAGGCTCATTTTCTTATCTTAGGGTGGAGCTTGGTGATTTTGTGGCTTATATTGCTGCCGGAAACCTCCTCTTTGAGTATATAATTTCAGGAGCTAGTGTGGCAAGGTCATGGACCTCGTACTTTGCTACGTTGTGCAACCACAGCCCCAACGATTTTCGCATCACCGCATCATCCCTTTCCGATAACTTCAACCATTTAGACCCAATCGCGGTTTTGATCTCCATTTTGGTTTGTTTTGGTGCTGCCTTGAGCATGAAGGCTTCGTCTAGATTCAATTCGGTTATGTCTATCACCCATCTGGTGGTCTTGATTTTCATCTTTGTCGCCGGCATGACTAAGGTTAACCCTACTAATTTCACTACAAACTTTGCACCATTTGGTATCCACGGAATCTTGAAAGCTTCAGCTGTTCTCTTCTTTGCGTACGTGGGATTTGACGGTGTAGCAACGTTGGGGGAGGAGACGAAAAACCCTGGCAGAGATATCCCAATTGGGCTGATTGGCTCAATGTTGACTATCATAACAACTTATTGCCTTCTTGCAGCCACATTGTGCCTGATGCAGCCATACAGCCAAATTGATCCTGATGCATCATTCACCGTTGCATTCCAAGCCGCGGGTATGAATTGGGCCAAGTACATTGTTGCACTCGGAGCACTTAAAGGCATGACAACCGTCCTGCTTGCCAACCTTCTTGCCCAAGCTCGTTATTTCACTCACATTGGACGCACCCACATGGCACCTCCATTCCTGGCGTCCATCCATCCGAAAACTGGTACGCCTGTGAATGCCACGGTTTTTATGACGGTTCTAAACTCCCTTGTTGCATTCTTCACAAGCCTTGATGTCCTGACAAACCTTCTCTCAATATCAACCCTGTTTATCTTTACACTTGTTGCCCTAGCACTTATTGTAAGGCGATACTACGCTTCTGGTGAAACCTCAACTCCCGACAGAAACAAACTCGTTGTGTTCTTGGTACTGATCGTAGGATCATCAGTTGGTTCTTCTATTTTTTGGGCAGCTAGCGACAACGGTTGGATTGCCTACACTGTGACAGTCACAATTTGGTTTGTTGCCACATTAGGCCTACAATTGACTCTCAAACAAGCAAAGAAACCTAAACTTTGGGGGGTGCCATTAGTCCCTTGGTTACCATCAGCCAGCATTGCCATCAACATCTTCATCTTGGGATCCATCGATGGTGCATCGTACATAAGGTTCGGCGTTTGGACGTTGATTCTGCTCGTGTACTATTTGTTCGTGGTGCTGCACGCTTCGTACGACGCAGCTAGGGAGCTTGAAAGAGGAGCAGTTGATGCTAACATGGAGGCTGGGACTAGCAGAATCATTGAATTTAACTGAAAATCTGAGTCTCTTCTTTCAGCATCTCTGTACAAGTCTTAAATTCAATTCACTATTTTTATTTTTTTACCTATTTAATTCAGGATACAAGTTGTTGAGCATTGCTAGTTTCCAATGTTCATATCCAATTTTTGTTTTGTCAAATTTTATATGCGCTCTAAATATGCACTTCTAAGTCTAAAAAAAGTAAGCAAAATTTGCTGAAACAATCAATTTACAAAGTAAGAAATGCAACTGTTGAATTTTCGCAAGATTTTTGCGTGCACAAGAAAAATTCATGCAATTTGAAACGGATCTTACCGAGGACATAACTATATTTTAATCTAATTTTTAAGCTCAAAAGGAAGGAAAATCAATAAAAGAAAACTAGTTTTTCCCAAAATATGGGATTTTTACAAAGTCTTAACATGAATTTGAAGAATTTTTTTTTTCTAACAAACAATAGCGTTAATGAGTTAAAAAGATTAAGAACAAGAACATCGGTGAAAAAATCAAACCTGCACTATGGTACATAAGTATTATTACTTTCCGTCAATGCAGCAACACACCAGCTATGAATTTTAAGAAGCTTATGTGGCTGCTAAAGTTCCACAGTAAGTTTTACGACGATTTCTGTAGAATTTTTGCAAAACCGATCAATAACAGTGAGTAATAATTTCTTTTAGAAAATGCAATTGTTAATGCTTCTTGAACAAATAATTTAATCATTAACTAATATAATAATTCCAACAGTTTCCTCAATGTTGTAATTTACATACAATTCTTGACCACTGCACACCTTTTCTTTCTCACTACCGTACACAGAAAAATAATAAATAATTTTAATTTTAATTTTAATATCATTAATAACAGTATTAATAATAATCACCTTAATTACCAATTACATAGATTATTTAAGCCTCTATCTTGAGGAGGGTATTGAGTGATGTACTGTTGAATCTCTGAGCAAGCCCTCTGATCACCAGCACAGTTACATCCCGAAGGTGCCTTGACTGCACCATCAAGTCGACATTATTCTCGCCGTCCACGACGATTTTCAGACGGTGTTGGTCGTTTCGGAACAGCTCCACCTGCCAAAATCCTCCACCTTATTAAGTTTGTAGTACATAGAAATGCAACTCAAAACCAGGAAGAAAAACGAAAGGAAATCCAGCCATATGGCTGAATTATGTAGGTTAGGCTTTAGATCAACAACATAACCACGCTAAATTTGAAACTTCTTCGATCTGTTGAACATTGCAAACATCATACAACTGGAAAAGAAAGCTCGATTAGAAGCATGCATATGGACTTACATGAAAGGGAGGCGCGTAACTTCCACGAATTTCAGTGGTTGGGAAGGAAGTCTTAGAACCGGGCTTTACCACCTTGACTCTCTTTCTGTTGACTTCGAGGATTCTTCTCTCAAGACTTCCCACTGCAGGAGCCTGCGATAAGAACAACGGAAAAAAATACTCAAAACTTTAAATCATTTCTAATGGGGAACAGATTAGTTACGATTGTATGCAGACAATATCAAATGACAACCTTTTTCGTAGATTGGTCCTTGTCACACAATGTCTGTACCGAACAAGTGAAACGTGGTTAGAAATGGTTTTCGCAACAAATACTATACGATTTACTACACGCAGAAGACAATATTAAGAGTTTCAGAATTTCCATAACCTCAAATTTCACAGTTCCAAGATCAAGCTTCTGCTTCACTTCTTTAAGAACATCAGGTTCTGCACGAAAATCAATGCCAGTTTTAAAATCGCAATGTATTATAACTTAAAAGTAATAAGAGATAGATCCAAAAGGAAACCGGAAAAAAAGGGTGAGGGATGGGATTCTTAATTACCAACTGCAATCGGCTCCGTTGATGCAGAAACAGGTTGCCCCTCCACTCCATCCTCTCTTACTGGAGTGTAAATGGCAACAAGCCTGTACCCTACGTCGTCAACATTAGACTCGTACATTCGCCCTACCTCCCCTGCAAGGAAAATTTTCATTTAATATTGCCCAGTGAAAAGATACATCTATGATAATGTTATCAAGAAAATTCCAATACCTGGTATAGAGATAAGATCAGGACTGCCAACCATTGATCTGAGCCACTGGATTCTACTTTTTCCTTCCTTCCCTCCACTATAAATTCCACGTACAGCGTATAAGTTGGTGTGGAAGCCCCTCCCTTCAATCTCCAGCTTATCTATTCTAGGGATTCCTACAGATAAACAGAAGTAATATATGATTAAATAAAAATTAGGGGGCAGATATGGAGTCAGGGGCAACTTCCACCAGTTTTGCATTTCAACTCGTCAGTACATGGCTTGAAATCATTTCTTATTGATGTCCAGTTTACAAGCTTTAGGAACCCAAGAAAATCAACAAACCCGAGGCCTAAGTGTTCGAATGGGAATACCTGGTAATATGGGTCCGGTTTCAGCATACACAGGCTCAGTTGATCTTCCAAAGACATCAGTCACAATGCATTCGCATTTTAGACAGCGCCCAACATCTTCTAGACGCATCTTGTAGGAGCAAGATTTCTGTGCAGGTAATAATTCGAAGGTTTTCTCATCTCCCTCTGTTGAAGAAAAATACCTGCAGCATCCCTCTGTCATGTAATGAACAAAATGAAATAGTACAAGCTAACAAACTTGAGACAAAAAATCCAAGAAAATTTCAACAAATTGAATGCATCTCCAGACTTCAAAGTTATACAACATTAGAAATCGCTGCATGCCAAATAGTCATCTGCTTATCAGAACAAAATGTTACATGAAACTAGGACCCAGCTGTAATAAAAAGTTAAATTCCCATTTGAATGGAATCATGCCGTAGATTACTAAAATATAACATCATACCATTGATATGTGACATCTTTCTTGTACTTGCTCCAAACAATCTGTTGAGTCTCACTCTCTGGGATCACTTGAACAACTGTAAGAACACCACCTTCGATTGCCTTTCCTGTGAGAGCAAGCATCTCTAGTCTTGGAAGCTCTGGAGGGATCCAAATTGAAATTAAAATTTTATTTAAGCTCTACCATGTAAGATAATAACACAGCGTTTTTACTGCTTTCTACCAGACCGAAGAAAATGCAAGTCCATCAAATATATCAAAGGCCAGAAGTGTTGATATGATGAATTTCTACCTGGAAGGATAATATCAGTTGGCTCAGACAACTTCAGTTCTCCAACCACCGAATCTGAACGAACTGGTGTGTATCTATAAGATGCATATGGAAGCATATGGAAAAGTTTATTAGAATATACATCTCTAAATTCTCTATATATTCATCCACAAGACTACATATAATATACGAGAAAGCAATTATTGAGTTTACAAGGAATAGATTTACATGCAAGTTTGTTAGATGTAGGAAAAGTTAAATAGTCAGACAAAACTTTTACCCAAACAATAGACGGCAGTTGTAGTCTGCATCAGTGACTTCATAAGTGTTAGTGTTGGCTCCATTAATAAGAACAATAGTTCCTTCATTAGTTTCTCTATACCAGCTAAAAAGGCTCGATCCTTCATATCCACCAAAATATTCTCCTTCTCCAGAATAAACGCTTTGTGACAACTCCTTCACACGAACATTAGAAACCACAGGAAGAGCTGCAACATTAATTCACCAAACAGTCAACGAACAAGATCTAAAAGAAATGGATATATGAATGCCTTTGTATAACTCAGACCAAAGATCAGTAAGATCATATAGCAGATACAGGACATGGAACTATCAATTAGCTATAAAATTGGTCTTGGCTAAAATGAACTGAAACAGTTGCTCAAGTACACAACTTCCTCAAAAATCGAACACCAAATGAAATGTATGAAATTTGGAAGTGTACTGTGTATACTAGTTTCCAATCAGAAAAAATGAAGTAGCCTTAACGATATCTCCTCATGTGAATGACATTGACAAGAAAGAAAATGAACTTATGAGCATGAAAATGAAGAAGTTTGTACCAGGTGCAACTGGAAAGTTGCAAATGGCAACTAGTGCATGTCCACATTTGCCATCAGAACGAGTAGGGACCCAATGTAAGGCCAAATATGCCCCCACATCTTCAAGTACTGGTGTGTATGTTCTGCCACATTTGCAAACCATTCAGACATCTTTTCAAAAATGAAAATACAGACTTCAAAACATTAGAAACCACCTAGTATCAGAACTTACAATGTTTTACCACAAATAACCAAATCTTCACATGCATTATATATGTCCTGCAATGCAGATCCATGCAGCTTATTCTTTGTTCTGTACCAAATATATTCCCCAACACCTTCTTCTCCACCAAAATATGTTTTTTTGGGGAATAAATTCTCATTCTCACAGCAATCGGAAATAACAAGCTCCAGTCCTACTGGATCCGCTGTTGCAAAAAGCAATAAATTGAATTGGTCAAGTTCAAATTAGAATTTATTAAATGGATATGAAAACGGAAGGGAAATGGACAGAATGAGATACATCAACTATAATCCTAAACAACTTTAGCATATGACCTTCCAAACTACAAAGAAAAATTTGCAGAACTCTTCAAAATAAATTAACTAACCAGGAGCAATCACATCAGATTGTATGCTCTTAGGATTTCCTCTCATCCCATCTTTGCGCATGGGAGTGTAAACAAGTTCAACACATGTACCCACATCATCAAGAGTCAAATCCACAAAATCTGCCAAGAGAAAAAATACCATTAAATTTGTAATTTCACATGAATGTGAAATCTGTCTCATCTAATTAGAACTCACCCTGAGTACTCAACTTCTCCTTGACACCATTACGTTTAACTCTAAACCATTCGTGCGAGCAATCTCCATTTCTCCCTGAATTACAAACAAGGACTTCCATTGTGTGAATCAGTCACAACACTAAAGTTCCAGGTTTATCTAAAAGGAAAAGAAAATAATAATATAATAAGAATAAAAGTAAGTCTGACCCTCCACTATAAGAAGCAGTAAAGCTCAGACGTTGCCCTTCTATCATTGAACCAAGAAACTCCAAAGACCGACAAGTGGGGGGCCCTGCACTCCGAGTACAAATTCATAATGGTTTAGTGATAACCCAGTACACAAGCCAAAGTGCACAAGGGGAAAAAACTAGAAATCTTCAATAGAATCCTACGATTATGAATAAAGATTACAAGAAATTAACTCATTACCAGGTATTACAGGTCCAATTTGTTCAGATAGAACAGTAGGACCACGCGCCCAGTCACTTCTGACAGGCTCACAAGATACTGAGACAAAGAAGCCAATATCATCAATTGAGAGTGTGTATGAAGCAGTTGTTGCACCCCTGATTTCGGTTTGTGTTCCATCTGAATTAGTCTGCCAATGCATCACATTTCTTTAATCAAATGTTGTACCAGTTGACAATTTTCTATTTCTAAAGAAAAGCAATCAAAGTAATCAAGTTCATAACTAAAGTGGTTTTTCAAGGAATTATGACTTTCTGATATTATAAAATGTAAATTTCTAGTAAACTAGGAATGCTCTGTGCAATAAACCAGCATTTTGCAAGTTGAGAACAGATGATATCTTACAAACAGCAGAAAGTTAAATGAAATTACCCGGAACCAGTAGAAAACTGAATCCCCTCTTCACCGCCCCAATATTTCTTTTCTACACTAAGTGCAGTTCCCTCAGTGGCATTCCCAACGATTTGTAGAGAAAGAAATCTAGGGTTCCCTGATTATGAAACAGCACGCTTTATAAGAATGATTCGAGCACAAAATATATAAGTCAGTACGCAGAGCTATCCATCATAGTTTGCACAAGTCCACAATGAAAATTATAGCATATGCCTGATTGGCAATCGATATTCAATTGAAGACATCAATGTACTATGATTTTTGTCCACTTTGCAAAAACAAACATGCAAATAATCGGCACAATAAATATCAAGAAACGAGAGAACAAAATTACCAGGGCGAACACGTTCCTGGCCCATGCATGTTCTTAGCTCACCCACAATCCCATCATCACGCACAGGGGTGCATTTGAATGAAATGAATTTACCAATTGCATCTTTTGCAATACGATACTGAAGAAGCCCTGTAACCTCAGGTATTAGAGATCCGGAGTCAGTTTCAACCTGTCAATTACGAGGTAAACAAGTAACTATAAGCATTGGTCCTCTTTACATTAGCTCGTATTCTGCACAGCACGAAATCAAGGGATCACGGATGGACCCTAGAGACTAATTATCATGGCATAAGAAACCTAATACAACCCAGTATAAAATTGAATATTATCTTATTTTCGGTAAATAAATCAGTTTAAAATATGTAAGATAGGTGTTAGACCTCCAATAGATCAAGCATTAATTCATGACTTGCAAAATTTGATAAAGGTGCATATACCTCGTGAAGATACCAACTATAGATACTTTTTCCTTCATGACCACCAATGTAACCATATGATGCCGTCAACATTCCACCTTCGATGTAATCACCAGTAATTGATAAGAAATTTAGGCTTGGAGGCAAAGCTGCAAGAAACGGGACAACAGTCAGCTATACACAACCTCAATTATGCATCAAGAATGGGACATTCAATAGATGGAAGCTTCAAATCTAGCCGTTGGAAATCAACAGTTGAGTTTGTAAAGTATTTAAAAAAATGCATATAGAAGTCCACCAAATTTTTGGGAATATATTAAAATAATTGTCTCAGTTTCCATCACGATGGTGAAACACCATAAGAGGGAAGGATACACCTTCCACCACTCCTTCTATATCAGTGGTGGCAAAATACTTGTAATAGGCTGATATTACTGTATAGTGGCCTGCATTTCAAATACTTTAAATACACAAAAACATGTATAAAGTATATTTACTTACTCTCAACTGCTCTATCTGATATAGCATATGCTGGTTCACCAGATTCACCATCTGGAGTCATAGGAGTAAATTTTACAACAATGTAATAGCCAACAGCTCCTAAGGGTACGCGAAAAGCCTGAACAAAGGTACGATCAATCCAATTTGCATCACATAAATGAAAGCCTTCAATTAGGATTTCTGAATTCATACATTCAAATAATATGAGATCGCATACCTTTGCAATCTTAGATGTGCTTACAGATTCAAGACCTTTCTCACCATCCAAAGTAGATGAACTTGTTTTAAACCACTGTACTCTGCTAGACCCTTCAGTTCCTCCAGTGACAGTACCAGTTGCAGTAACCTTACTGTTCTCCCTTAGATCACCAACTATCTTCAAATCTATTACCTTTGGAGGCGCTGGAATTTGACAGAGCAAAAAAATAGGAAAACAAGAGGAAGTCAGTGACAACATGCCAACATCATAAAACCAAACAGAAGCATAGAACAGGTTAAAATTCCAACCATAATCATCACAACAGATATGCTCAATAAACAAAATTTAAAAAAATAAACAACCACAAGACTTCCACAAGGAAAATGACATCAATTTAAAGAATGTTTTTATTTTCCCCTTGGAAAAGTAAACTGAATCAAGCTTCAAGAGTATTGACATTATTCAAGATACCTGGCTTCACAACATGGGACCTTATCGAAACAGATTCCCCTTCTTGACCTGAAAAAAAAAAAAAAAAATAATAAAAAAAAACACCAACACAATTTTAAATGACAATCCATTAGTAAGCAACACTGTTACTATCTATAAAATGTTCCCAGGGAAAGTTCAACGTATTAACCTTCCAAATTGATGGGTATATACACAAAAGCCAAGCGATGGCCAACATCTTCCTTGGTCAAAGTATACTCAGGTGTACCCGTTGATACCAAAACAAGGTCTCTGACAAGAAAAGCCATTAGAGAAAATAATTGGAGGGAGGCTCAAGTATGCAAAATTTCAACCAAAAAAAGCCAAAATTCAAAAAAGATCAAGGGAACAAAATACAATAACTAAAGACTTTCCATTGGAGCATCGCAAGATATGAGCATACTAACCCAGTGTCTTTATCCTCACATAACCATTCAAACTTGCTGGGACCCTCTCTTCCTCCAAAGTAATCACCAACTCCTCTGATAGTACTGCCTTCAACAACATCTCCAACAATGTGTACATTATTGACTGATGGAGGGGCTGCGACCATGAAACATGAACAATTAATACCCTAATCATAATCTCCTAGGCCAAAAAAGAAATGCAGTGAGTAAAAGAGAGAAAAAAGCCCTAAAAATCGTATACTTAACAGTTAACATAGTCATACCACAAAAGTTATAGACAAGATCTTCACAAAAGTTGGAAGGCTTACATACCTGATTTTACAAAATCGGTGTATTCATAATGAGGTTCTCCTTTGGCACCTTCTTCTGTCACTGGTGTATACATGAAAACCAAACTGGAGTCAACATCATCTATGGTCAATTTGTACTCCTCATCTTCAGCTCCCGCAATAACCACAGGACTGCTATTCCATTTTCTCCTCAACCAACTGAAAAATATGAAACATGTATGTGCATTATATGATTTTTCTGTACCAAAAGGAAAGAGAATAAAGCATATACGTGTACATATATCTGGTACATTACATACAAATGTGCAGACAAGCATATATCTGGTACCTTAGCTTGTAAGAAACATACACACGTAAATAACATGTGTAGATATGCTAGGCTACCATTGTACACCAAAAGCTTAAGCAAAGGAATAGGCCAACTATGCAAATCAAAGCTTCAACATCCTTGTTTTGAAACCTCAACCAGTGCATGGGAGATAAAAAGAGAAACATACGTGTGTAACCCACTCCTGCACTATTAAAAGCTAATAAAATCACTGGTGGGTGGAGGATCAGAGGTTTGGACCACCAACATCTTGAAACTAGAGCTTTATTACCGTGCTAGACTATCACCATACCCAATCTTAAGTTATTTTGGAATGGACAACAATGTATAACAAGCACAAAACATCTAGAATTGTCAACGTATAACATGTATGTAAATCGTTTAAATAGGTAGTCTCACCTAGAAACACCTTTCCCTGGAGTGCCACCACACCACGCAACCTTTGCATGACCTCTAACAATATTTCCCTCCACTAGATTTCCACGAACATCAAGATTCACAACCTTTGGGATTCCACTTCCTTTGCAAGTGAGAAAGTAAGATAATCAGTAGCATGACAAAAATTACTTGCACCATATAAAAACTATCCCAATAAGCAAAGGTATGCTTCCAGAAGAAATTTTAACACAGAAAGATATTGTCAAATTATTCCATTCGCATTTACCTCGTTTAACTGGAGAAGATATAGCAAAAATAGAAGGGTACTCTGTTTCTCCTAATACAGGAGTACACTCCACTTTTAAAATTCTACCAATATCTTCATGCTTAGGCCAGTAGACCTATGTTCATCATCAGCTCAAAATTAGATTGCATGAAGAATCAATTGCAGCCCAAAAGTTCAAAACATTGAACTTACTGAAAGAATCAGTTACCTCTCCAGTGGCATCAGGAATAATGGTGAAATTCGAAGGAGTTCTTTCTCCTACAAACCATTGGTATTTCAAGATTAATTGTGGATCAGCTGCCAAAGTGTTCTCTTGTACAAAAGTGAACTGGCAGCGACAAGTATCTTCTTCAAATGGTTTCTCAACAGAGGCCTCCTTGACCAGGAAGCCGGGAGGCAAATGATCCTTCCATTGCTCAACAAGAAAACGAAAAGTAGAGTCTGTTCAAGAAACATAATTTCATAAGTTTAACTAGGCTATCAACTACAACTGCAAAACAGGGTTAACCATCCTAAAATATTCTGACAGCAGCAAGCGTATCCCTCAACACATAGATCCATAGACATATACATATAAATTTTATAAGTTCATTCATGGGCATATAATAATAGCTCATTGCGAACTTTGTTGATGCATTTGAATACTCTACTATTAGATAATACATAATGCATGATAAACCAACAGATTTGCAGTCCTTTTACCAAAAGCAACTTGTATATCCAAAAGGAATCATGAAAGACAGTAACTTATCCATTCAATCCCTTTACTTCCAAGTTCCAACGGTGACTTGTCCTTTCAAAACCAACATAAGCTCTGCACCAAAGATTTCACAAGAACTGAATTTGCAACCTAAAAGAATGAAAGAAATCAAACTACACACCTGCAGCATGATCTGGACGGCAAAACTCCCAACCATCTCTAATGCACAAAGAGGTGTGTGCCGGATAGCGCTTTGCAATTGTAAGCTCTTCTCGGGAAAGATCTGGCAAAATTTTCAAAAAAACTTGTAAGGACACACTATTGTAAAAACTAGTGAGATGGACAGAGATAGAGAGAGAGGGGGGAGGGAAGAAGAAATATAAGAACAGGAAACAGGTGAACATGGCAACTGATGTAGAAACCAAATCACAATCATTCTACAAGATACCTCTGTCATTGAACTTTTTTAATGTAGTACCAACAAGCAAAATGGAAGCTGCTTCCAGGTGAGGCATTTTAAGTATGGGATTTTCCTCCACTCGTAAATGCTGTGGCATGAAACAAGAAAGTACAATTATGTGAGTTTACAACCCCGGTCAGATGAATTAAGTTATTAAGAGATGCATAAATCCTTTACATGGACATGTGAGATGTAAATTCAATCCCAACAGCCAGTTTCCATGAATTTATGAATTTAAATGTGCCGGATGTTCAGCTACAGTGATAAAGATAAAGACCAACACAAGACAACTTGAAGGCAAATGCCTACATATTTTGAAACTAACCTCAAGGACTGGTAAATAGGGGAAACCTTTCAGAGTTGAAATTTTGTTCTTGCTGGCAGCTAATACCTGTTTGAAATTATTGAAAAAGTTAGCATTTGGTTCAAACACTGGGAGTGGGGGGAAGAGGCAACAAGTTCGAAGCTCCTAAACAACAACAAACCTGTAGTCTAGGTTGGCTTGCCATTGTAAGAGACTTCAATTTATTTTGAGCAACAGAGAGAAACTATACAAGGAAAAAGAAACAAAAGTTAGATAAATACAAATTTTTACCACTAGGGACCAATTCAGGAGGTTATAACAAATTGCAAACTGCCATAGCACATCAGCAACAGAAAACTATTCATGAATCTTGACCTCCAAATTAGGGAGCTGAGGAAGGCTAGCAAGTGACGTGAGTTGGTTTCCGGCAAGATAAAGTTGCTGCACAGATCAAAATATAAGAACCCTATTACATGGATATCTACAAACTACCTAAAGATGAAGATATGCACATATGAAACACAAACCTGTAAGACTTTGCAAGTTTCAAGAGGTTCAAATCCAGGCCCTTTGAAATCATTGAAACTCAAATCAAGAACCTGGAAATAAGGAAGTACTATCAATAATTACTAAGCTATTTAGTTTCAAATCTTCAGTAGATGGTTTTCATGCTTATCATGTGCATAATAATAAATAGTTGACTTGGCAATTTAGTAGATTGCTTAAAATTTTCAGATTAACCAACCTTTACTCGTGCCAGTATTTCCACTCCCTCCAATGTAGACAAGAGATTGTCTCTGAGATAAACGAACTGCCAAAAGGAGTGTTATTTAAGGAACAACTATAATCGCTTACAAAGAAAAACGTTTATGGAAACCTGACAAAATAATTGACAAGGTATCTAGTTAGGTAGATGGCAAAACTCACTTAAATAGACAGCTATTCATATAAAAAGAAAATCAGTTTACCTCTAAATTTGGTGACAAGTTCAAACCACTAGCCTTGAGGCTGCGAACTCTGTGACCCCTAAGATCTAACCTCTGGCACAAAACGTAATGTAAGGTAGAAAATAAATACATACAGAAGGGAAGGACTGTTACCAATGATATGATAATATTTCATCAGTAGTCATGTCCAATAGCATGACAAGACAGATGCAAATCAAACAAACAAAGTAAGCGTTTGAGAGATTGAACAGGAATGATGCTTACCAGATCATCACTGGCTTTGACTTCCACTTGTGGAAGGACAATGAACCGAGAATCCCGGCTTTGAGGAGTTGCAGTTTTCCTACGCCCAGATAAACTAGAACTTCTATCAAGAGAAGAGGACAAAGAACCGGTTTTCAGCCCACTAGTAACTGTAGGTGTTCGAGCTGATGGGGAAGAAAGCTTTGGGACCGACTTCCTGACTCCACTGCTAGCACTACTATCCAATGAGGAAGTCGCCCTTCGTGAAGAGGAAGATGAAGTAGACAATGCAGGTTTGACAGCAGGCTTCCTGACAGTCTCTTGTTTAGTTACACTCACATTTGACCCGGATGATTTATTCAGACTCCGGTCCAATGGCGATCCTGAAACCGACTTTCTAACTTCTGAAACACTGATTCTAGTCAAAGATTTAGTGGTAGCAGCTGAAGGCAATGAACTCCTTCTAAGCTCTGGGAGGGACCGCCTGACAGGGTCCAGAGTCTTTTTTACTGCAGTCGTAGTGGCACTGTTTTGCTGTCTTGCGGTGGAGACTGATGGCTTCTGCGGCAAACCTCCAGTGCTGTTTCGCCTTATCGGGACTGAATTCAAACTTCGGGTAGACCCATTTGCACTAGACTTGGTAGCCCTTGAACTAGGATCCACACCACTTTTGGGGTCTACTTTCTTTCTAACAGTTGGAACCGAGACCCTTGATGTCACTGCATTGCCGGTTTTCACAGTTTTGGTAACTCCTTTTGCAGTTTCTGATGAACGAACAGAGGACTGTTTCTCCGAAATTGGGGCCTTTTCAACCGTCTCTTCGCCCCCCACCACTAAATTGTCCTCCATTTTGGTTCACCACAAATGCGTCCAAAACCAAAAGCTACATTCCACGAACAGTGAAAAAAACCGAGTCAGTTTATGTTTGGTTTCCAAGAAAATGCAGAGGAAACAGAAAGGAAAAAGTGCAGTTTTGTAAAAATTCACACCCTTTACTCAACAAAGCTAAAAACTTCAACTTCATTCCTCACCTCAATTCAACTAAACTACCATGTGAACAAAATTGAAAACCCAATTCATAAAATAAAAGCAGGAGGTACTTACAAGTCAAGAACTTGATAAAGATTGAAGCTTTTTCAGGACCAAAACCTCTGTCCTTGTAAACAAAGGACCATACTTGGATCTACCACAAAATGCAGACAATTTAGCAAAACCCAGTTCGATTTAAGCCAAACCCTTTTGAGAAAAAAAAAAAAAAAAAAGCGCTCAAAAACAACAAATTTGAACTCAAAAGGACAAATTCAAACACACACAAAAAAAAAAAAAAGACAAAATAAACAAAGAGAGAGATAAGGATAATTAAATAAACAATTACCTGGACAATGTGTCAGATCTGCGGGGTTACAGAACTGAAACGGAAACTGTAAGGCATTTCTAGGGTTTGATTATTAGGCAGAAGATGGTCAAAGCAGGCTTGGAAGGCACCAAAAAGAAAAGCACAAAAGTAATGGAGTGAGAGAGTGAGGGAGTGAGTGAGAGACTGTGCTGTTTGGTGAGCTAAGAAATTGGAAAAGCTATGGGCATAGCCATGTGGGGATTAAAATATGTCTGAAAAAAGCTGGGTTCCATATAAAATTTGCAAATGTTAAAAGAAATGGCGGAAAAAATTAGGATTTGAAACACTGTGCAGCGTGCCATGGAAGTGGAATCCCATTCCCCATGTCCCATGTGTGACCGTGACAAAAGAAGAAAAAGTGAAAAGTAGAAAAGTGACAAAATTTTATAAAGAAATTTAACAAAAAAAAAACTCTCAGTATTATTTGTTTTAACAAAAAATTATATTTTTATACTAAAAAGTTAATCATGGTATTATTTATTTTACCTTTTATTTTTTCCTTATTATTAAAACTCAAAGTTTTCAAGTCATTTTCATTAATTATCCTAAAAACCATAAGCACAAACATTCTCATCTTTATTATTTTTTTTCTTTTTTCGGTCCAACATTGTTTATATTCACTTTCAATCTTTGTCTATTTAATTGGAATGGTTCAAGAGTCACATAAATATTTGTACTATCATTCGGTGAATTTGGACTGATTTTATTTAATTGGAATTGTCCGAAGACAATACAACTACATAGATAGTTGTATTGTCATTTGATGAATTTGGACTGATTTTATAATTGGAATGGTTCTAAAGACAGTATAGCCGCATAAATATTTATGTTGTCATTCGGTGAATTCAAACTAATTTTTTTTTAGTATGTGATTCAAATTTACCATATGGCATAAATATATATACATGTATTTTTATGTATATATGTTCTTTTAGTTTCAGATCCAAGGGATTTGAGCACATTAATCAATGCATTCAGATCATTGAAATTTGATTCAATGGTTACAAACAAAGAACCTCTCTGAAAATTCTAATAATTGTAACTGTTATCAAATTTCAATTAATGGCCTCAGATCTTTTCAGATCCGGAGAAGATCCAGTTCCCATAAATATATCTTCTTGGCCAACAAATTGGAGACTTTTTAACAGTTATTCCCAATCGAAATGAGAAGCAATTATTGCCAGTATGATATCGTTGTCACCTATACAGCTACGTTAATTGACTAAATTGACCATTCGTTACGGGATTATTGCACGGTCACTAGTGGGTAAAATTGTAAAATGACAAAACACGGATAAATGTTCATCCTAATCCGACGTAAGGATATTCTAATCTCGAACAGGAGCATAGACTTACACGTGTCCAAACACCTCCAAATCATTTTATTCATTTCTTCGTCTTCGCTGCGTTGGCATGCAGCAAAGCAAACGAACATTTCCCGGCACAAAAGCAAAAGACTATCACTGAGAATACCTGTAGAGAGAGAAAGAGAGGAGAGAGAGAGAGAGAGACCTGCAATGGCGGACGAGAAGCCGCTGAGGAAAATAGCGGAAGCATTCAAAGAGCTGGAGGCAGCCGTAAACTCCCAAGCGGCGGAAGTCGAGGTCGCTCCCTTCTCTCGCGCGTGCTCGCTCGTTTCGCCTCTGTTCGGCTGCTGGGCATCGCCTTTAAGTTCGCCGAGATGGACTACGTCGCCAAGGTACGGGATTCCATTTTCCTTTTTTTTTCTTTTTTTTTTTTTTTTTTTTTCTGTTTGGTTGCCGAGAATATCACAGAAACGAGCTCAAATCAAAATCTGAAACATTTGCTTCAATTTGATCAGTTTTTGGATTGTAACAGGTCCATGATTTGTCGGAGGCGTCGAATTCAATATCGACATTGCAGGTTCTGCTCGATCGCGATATCGAAGCGGGTTGCGTAGAGAAAAGGCGGTAGTCATTCGAGGAATTTGTTGAGAGTGAAGCGTGGGATCGACATGGTTAGAGTGCTCTTCGAGCAAATTATAGTCACCAAGTACGTATTAATATTATCCACTTAAATTAATAAGCTTTTCAGTACAAAGTTAACTGGGATTATATCAAACTTAATAGGGACTGTTTGCGAACAAAACATCCTTGGAAGATTACATTTTGCGCCATAAATTTACGAACTTTTGCACATATGGACTGCAACTGTTAGACATTCCTTCAATTTTTGCATCAAGTGAACACTATCTAAACCAATTTAAGCGTAGAAGGAATACGATGACGAATATATTCTTGCTTGAAACATAACGCGAAGCAGCTGCAGTAGTTGTACAATCATTCATGGATGTGTTCCATTTGCTGCATCTCATTTGTTGTTTGTAGCTGCTGCAGCCACCGGGCGTTATGCTTAAGGCGAGAATGTATTTGCGTTGATTTGCTTCTGTTAAATTGGCTTAAACTTTAAATGGCGGCCGTTTGGGTATTGATACGTTTGATTTAACATACACATTTAACATTGTGGTTATTGATACGTTTGGATGCTGAAGTAACATTATGTGTTGAAATTGTACTAACATTATGCAGTAGTTGTACAATCATTCATGGATGTGTTCCATTTGCTGCATCTCATTTGTTGTTTGTAGCTGCTGCAGCCACCGTTGGTTATGCTTTGGGCGAGAATGTATTTTCTTTTATTTGCTTCTGTTAAATAGGTTTAAACTTTAAATGGCGACTGTGTGGTCATTGCTACGTTTGATTTAACGTAAACATTTAAACAGAGCCAAAGTGAAATTCACTTCAGGTAAGCGGTCGGTCAAGGTTGAATTTCATACAAAATTATGTGGATGCTGAAGAAACATTATTTGTACTGACATTTCCTTACTTTCGAATGAAAGGGGAAATTCTCTGAAGGATCCAGCTTCCAAGGCTTATGCACAGGTGTTTGCTCCCCACCATGGATGGGTCATCAGGAAAGCTGTTGCTGCAGGGATGTATGCGCTTCCTACTAAGAAACAACTACTGAATAAACTCAATGAAGATGGTGAGTGTATTACGAGATACTACATTCGTTTCTTAAATTCTTTATCTCAACAAAGCGTTTGATTTGGCTGCAATAAGAGTTGCATTTGGATAGCTTCTGAATACGAAGCTTTCCATCGTTCACATTGCGTATCTTTATACACTGTTTTAGATGATTTGAGGTCTAGCGTCGACATGTTAAACACTTACCGCCTACCAAGTATGTCACTTTGCCAATGGATTGTGAGACGGGGGAGGAAAAACCTTGGAGTGGTTTCGATTTATCTTCCTTGTTTCGAAGAAACTTTTACTTGTTTTGTTATAACTTGACTATTCTCGTATTAACACCGCTCTTTGCCTTCCACTTTGTTGCTTTCAGAGAACTCAGCAAGAGTTCAAATGCAGAGTTACATCGCTGCTTCTGCCCCTCTAATTCTGTACATCGACAAACTCTTCCATTCGAGGAAATTGGGCATAGATTGGTAGAGCAGAACTTGCATTGTACTTACGGAGATTTGTTCTTGACATTGTAAGCTATGCTCATAAACGTTTCTGTTTACAACTGCATTGGACATGCTCTTACTATGGGCGTATTTATGTTCGGAGATCGGAATGTGTATTTATCTTCGAATGAGATTATATCAGCGCCGCTGTTATGACCTGTTCGAAGAGGACGGTGGATTATACATCGCCACAAGCGTCTTCTACAATTCGATTTCTGATTCTAACGTGCAAATGAGGAATGCCGGCCTCCTCGTCGTATGAATACAAAAGAACATCATTTCATATAACTCATCAACTCAATGTAGTCAAAATTGGGAGATGCAAGAATACATGATTGTCAAAATTGAGAGCTTAGGGAGTATTTGTATCTTCTGATGAAAGCTTAAGGGAATAAATTGCGATTCCATTCCGAGCAGCTGGGTTAAGTCCCCACCTTCCTAAACGAGGTTCCTGTCACAAGGGTAATCGGCGATGTTAGAAGCTGAGATTGTTTCCGTAAGGTGAACATGGAAACGCAACGGAAGAAAATGGACGCTGGATTATAAATATCCCGATGAAATAGTAAAGGAAGCAAAATTTAAGCTCTAGCAGCATTACACTTGATTTCACAATTAATGCTTCAGCTTTCGTATCCACGAAGTTCAATCTTATGGTCGAACATTAGTCGAACATTCCTTTCAGTTGATGAAATTGAAAGGAATAAGAGAAAAGCAAATACAAGAAGAGAAGGAAGGGAAAATCGAAAAGAAAGAAAGGTCACCTTCCCGACTCCTGCAACTAGAAACTGTCCAGATTTTGCAAAAGCTAACGAATTCACAAATCCAACCTGCAGGGAATAAGAATATTGTGGAAAGAAAAAACTTGTTAAATTTTGATTTACAAGAAGCAAACAAGGTCTTTTAATGATTGATTTGGCATACCAGTGGGATGTTGTGTAACGGCTGAATCACTTTGCTTTCACTTTTAATAGCCCATAATCGAACAGAGCCGTTACCAGCTCCTGATGCAGCAAGGTCGCTGCCACTACAAACAGCGACTGAACTAACCCAAGAATTTGTTGATGAACAATCATAACTTTCAGAAGTGTGGTTACCATTTTCTGTACAACAGAATTCAATACCATCCCGTTAGAACACAACTGACTGGGAAGAAAAGTGTTAACAGCGTACAACTTGAAGCCAGAAAAACTTATAATGTTTTGTATAAATTTACCCATGTGACCATTTGGGATTCTATCACCATCCTTTGGTTCAGCATTTTTCTGTGCAGCCAACAGAGGATGAGCATTCTTAGCTATGCAAACAGGCTTCTTCCGTAGCATGTCCCAAAGCTCAACACCTCCATCATCAGAGCCGGATAAGAATTCGTCATTGCTAATAAAACAACAACATTCCAAAGAAGATGCAGGGGCACGGAATACTAAACGAGACTCCTCTGGGACCTGTGTTTCAGATAATAAATGATCCACCAACGTGACTTGACTTAAGTTTTATTTACAAGCATTCCCCAAAACAAAATAAAGTATTTACTTCTTACCTTAAATAACTGCATACTTCGATCATGTCCAACAGTCAATACCCTTTCTTTCCGTAGGTAATCAATACTTAAAACTTCACCTTGATGACCAAATAATGTGTTAATGTAAGCTCTATCTTCTACATTCCATATCTTAACTGTTCGATCATATGAACCAGAAAACAGTTCTGAAGACCCTTGCCTGAAAGTTAAACATGAAACAGGTCCCCTGTGACCTGGAAAAGCCTGTTAACAAATTAAAAAAAAAATTCGATTAAGAACAGAACATAAAACCTTTTCAAATTTACAAATGCAGCTTCTAACAAAATTTGGAGAGAGAAGTGCAGAGTGTATGCACATAATAAGATCACATATTTTACTGTCATACAAACAATACTTCCACAGGACTGTCTATCATAAATTATATATAAAACCTCATCAGTGTCTTTAACATAACAATGCATCCCAATATATGGACGACAGATGAGTCAGCTTCCAGATAATGCGGCTTTTGCCAAAATAAATTAGGTCATTCACACATGATTTGCATATAAGCCACAAAGCACTAGAGATTTTACTTTTACTGAACTTTCCTTATAGTATGAGAGGTCAACGACTCAACCGCATTCCTCTATCCTGACCAATTGAACTAAGTTTAAACTCAACATTTTTCCAAATATTAATATATTATTCTAAAAGTAAGAAATCAATCGTATTTACCAGAATATGCTCTCGTGTACGAGTATCCCACAAATGAACATGGCGATCTAATCCCCCACTTGCCAAATACCGACCATCAGAACTAACTGCTAGTGCTAAAACATGTTTACTATGCTTTTTAGCTCGACCTTGTGGATCCTTGACCCCATGGGACTTTAATACTGCATCACTAGGCCATAGATACTTTTCACTTTTCCCACTGTCTACATCCCAATGTAGAATGGTGCCATCCTTAGAAGCTGAAAAGCCCCTGAGGTCAACCTCAGACAGAGCCACAGCAGTAACAGGTTGTCGATGCTTCACTAATATCCGAAATTCATCAGTAGGTTCTGGCTTTTTAACCCTAAAATGAGAGAATTGAACATGAGAATTACAAACATGGTACCACAAAGTAACATATTAAATAATCGATATGCAAGCATACTTTTCTCCATTATATGCAACAACAAAAAACTACTTCCAAGATACCCATCAAGCTTAAAGTGTCAAACAAGAAAATGCTTAAGCAAGAAAGCTGATGGTAACATGATAGAATATGATCTAAGTACCATTACACCAAGAACGAAATGCATAAAGCTCACAACTTTGAATCTGAATACCGATCAAATGCCACTTCAATTTGGTCAAGTTTTGAAACAATAACAACATCTACAATCTAGTCACTAAGAAAACTATCAAAATAACAATCACGGACAATCCAAATTTCGGCACAAACTGCAGGAAAATTGACACAGAAACTAGAAGTACTGAATAACAAGGAACTGAAAACACCAAAAGCAGATAAAAAGCTTCTAATAAAAGCAATTTCAACTGAAAAGCAAAAGAAAAGAAGGTCAAATAGCAGTGATTACCTAGAAGCAATGGCACGGCGAGCTCGGCCGCTGTCCTCGAGCTGCTGCTGCTGCAACATCTTGCCAACAAGCGAGTCCATCTCGCCTTCCTTCACATCTTCTTCACCACTATCATCATCCTCATCTTCCTTCGCCCTCCTCAGCAGTTCCCGAGTGTTCTCCAAAAACTCATGCGCAAGCCTATTCCTCTTCTCGTCTGCCGTTTCCACTACAGCCTCCTCCTCCTCCTCCTCCGCCTCCTCTCCGCCGCCCTCGCCGTCCGATCCAACGTCGGCGTCGGATTCGCTCTCAATCTCATCGAGCTCGACTTTCCGGCGCTTCTTGGATTCGGCGCCGAAGAAGGGGTCATCGTCGAGAGAGAAAGCCTTGCCCTTTTTAGGTCCCTTGGGAGCTGAGCCTGCCGCCTCTCTTCTTGTTCTTCATGATCGGAATCAATGCACGGAAATGTGCTGCTTGCACTGGATTGCTAGGGTTTTGCGTTTTGGTTAGGGTTTAAGGTTTAAGCGGCGAAGATGACGGTGAGGGACATCTTTGTTATGGTGTTAGAAATTCGGGTCGTGGGCTTGCCCAACATATCCATTTATCATGATCCGGATTCTAATTTCTCGGCCCAATGTTTTGTAACGTCGGGTTAGGACCCGGGAGGCAAGGATATGGATTTTACAATTTTCTTTAAATTTCCAAATTTACCCTTGAAATGCACTAATCAAATAATTCGTATCACCCCGATATCAATTAACTTGCCCATTATTTATTTAAAGGTTGAGTAGTAGACTTCGAACATGTCAGTTGATTAAGAGAGTGTGCAAGTTGAAAATCTCTATGTTGTTACAAATGAGAAGATTAAATTATGTATAAACGGTCATTCACAGACGTGCCAACCATCAACATGTATGGAGCTCTAGTGAAGGTTATCCCGCCACAGCACGAATAACTTGAGATGTCGCTCGTTTGAAACTGTTTCTTTTAAGGATACTTCTGCTCAAAAGTACTTTTAATAAAAACGCTTGCCTCGGTCAGAAAGCGATTCAAGTGCATTTTTGAACCCAGAAACACTTCCAGCTTTCTCTCTGAATATCAAGTTCTGAGTTTTCACAAACCGATTAATCACCTTTAGCAGTATACAATTACAGAAACATCAGAGTATGAGAATGTAATCAGGAAAACTTGTTTAAACATCTAAGTTTCCTTCAGCACCAAAAAAGAATCCATATATCAAGAATGGATCGTCCGATCGTTTCTCAGAAACCGGTAAGCCTAAGAAAGAAAACGGGTTTCGTTGTTAGTGGCTGAGCTGCTAGTGCTCGGAGATCGCATCTCCTTCTGAGTCTCGCCGTTTCTTCTTTCCCTCTCCATGCCTCGACCGCCTCGGGGCCTCATCCTCACTTTCACTGTCATCATTTCTAGAGTTGTTTCCAGCACCATAATGTGCCTCATCATCTGGTCCCCCAGCCGAACCTGTCATATCTTGTCCTCTCCGGTCACCGGAAGCTCCCCTTGGATCTCTCTTCTGCATCCGGTTAGGGTTTTGAGTTAATAGGGGCGGGGGTGGTGGAAACATTGGAGACATACCAGTTGGCCGACCACCTCGGCCTGGATGGGGGCCTCCCATAAATGGTGCTCGTCCAGGACCCATAATCCCAAACCCACCAGGCGGAAATCCAGGTTGTGGCCGTCCACGGAACATCATGCCAGGGTTGGGCCCTGTAAAATCACCTGAAAACCTGGGACCATACGGATTGAAACCCCGAGGGCCCATACCAAAAGGATTTGGCATAACAAATCCGTCAGGGCCATAGGGCATTGCATCAGGACCCATCATTCCTGGGGGAAAACCCTGCATCCCGGGCATAGGTCTGCCACCTCTTGGTAGAGGCATGTGAGGTGGCCACATGACTCCTCCTCTGCCCCTTCCTCTGCCATCATTTCCTGCTCCGGGAACTTGACCGAAGCTATCTTCCTCATCTTCACTTTCTTCCTCTTCCTCCTCTTCATTGTCCTCAAATGGAACAATGTCTGGATTCTCACCACCATTCTCTGGATTGACTCCCTTTGCTTTTTCTTCTTCACGTTTTGATTCTGCCTGCAATCGAAATTGCCTGTACGCAGGCAACGATAAACAACATTCAGATTCCGTCGAGTTTTGGCCATTCTAGAACATTAAATGAAAAGCAAAGACACATTATAGTGCAAAACAAATCTTGTGCCTGCCCCAGTAAAATTGACTAATTTTAAGGACAACGCAAATGAAAACTAAGGAGAAATATAGAGATAAATTCCTATGTTAAAATAATTGATAGACATTATCTAACTCTTTTTTATTTCTTTCCTTTTTAACCCTTTTTCTTTAATTTCTATTTTATTTCCCAAAATTTAACTAGTTTCTGTAAACTTTGAACATACCATAAGTTCACTATCTGGCTCAAGATAAAGCAAGGAAGCCAACTGCTCACCGACGGATTGCTCTAGCTCTTGACAATCTCTACTTATCTGCAAGAGTACAAGCATAACAATAAGCTCAAAAGTTTTTTCCGTCTTGACTCTTAAGGTATGTCTACAGAATGTAGTAGCACATCAGCAAGCATACATGTCGACAATAGTAATCACTGCAGGTAAAAATGCATGGTTAAACAGCTAATAAAAAATAGGCGCACGTAAAGAAGTTATTAACATAATATTCTATCAGATTAGTTCTATTTAAGCTCCAAGTGATGCATCAACACTTATATTTTTCGCATCAACACTTACATTTTTAAGAAGCACCCAGCCAAGATACATCATGGCATTATACAATGACTCTTCAGTATGATTCTAAACAATGCTGACTTATTTGTTAATACCACACACACACACGCAGACAAACCACAAAAGGACCTACAAAATACATGCATACAGATATATTCATGGATTGTACATTTAGTCATACAAGTATATTATACTATTTTGACGTTTTCGGTTATCAATTTAAGCTTGGTACTCAAGACCCGTTCAGTAGACTCCAAGTCCCCTGGATTGTAACTTCCATTCTAATTAATAAAGTATGTCTTTTATAAATGTACGAACACGTTTTGGCTGGTTGAATCATGGATTAGCATGACAAACCTGCAGCCTACCGATACATATTGAAAATCCTGACAGAAATATAAATTGGGTGATTTTAAATCAATCAAGACAGAACAGACAAAAATCAAATAGTGTTTATATTACGAATTATCAACTGCGATTTCTATAGTTTTAGGGCTCCTGATTGTACCTTCACTGGTAGGTTCTCATTGTAGGGATTCCTCAAATGACGAGTTTTGTGAAAGGACAGTTCACATAGCTGCATCAAAGAAACTGCAGTTAGACATCACATCTTATCCCAACTGCAACTTGACGCAAAGTGGGCACACAGATGGGAGTTTAGGTTTAAATGTTATGAAATGAAAGAGTGAAGTCCACATAACTTAAAAGCTGATACAAGTACAAACAACTCCAATCTTGATTCAAACCAACAATGTGAGAACATATAAACGAAAGAATGAATTAACTATTAAGATACAAGCCTCAAGCAAATAAAAAAATACTGTCACTATAGCCAATAAGGAGCCGAAAAACCAAGGCACACTCATTAGCATGCCAATTAGTAAGAGTGAGAAGAACAGTAATAATAAAACAGACTTGATAATTCTAACAAGAAACTTTGTAGGATCCTGTCTGTTTGTTTGTATACCAAAAATATACCTTTAACCATTTGACAGAGAAATTTCGCCCATAATGCGCAGTTCCGTGTGCATATTTCCAGTTCCCTCCACCAACTGACCCACCAATTCTGGACATCATCTTTGCACAACCCTAGCAAAGAATAGGTGAATTTAATTCTAGCACCCCCAGTAGATAACTTAACATAACTAAAAATAGTAAGCAATGTGAAACACAATGGGATGCAATTTGCAATCCTACCTGGAAATGTCGAGTCCGGTTGACTGAGAAAATTAAAATCACATTTTCAGCAGAGTCAAAAGCTTCATTAAGTTTGGACTCATTGCTCCTTTGAGTTGCCCATACTCCTTGTTGTACAGATAATTCCAAATTTTCACGGTTGCAACTTTTAACAATAAAATACCTAAGGTTTGATGTTTGAAGTAAATAAGTATATCCAATTCAATAAAACGGGTGCACTAATTGGGAAGAAGAGTGAAACATGGATAGAGAAACAGTCAAGAGATTTCATTAGGTAGGAAGAATGATATGACAATTGACTACTACATTACGAAATTTGATGGGAAGATGATTATCACAATTTGACATTTGAAAAAATGCAGAAAGCAGGTTGGCAGGGCACTTTTATATTTGAACCTATACAGCCATCATACAGCATAACTCCAAAACTAACGGTGAGCAGTAAGCACTGATGCAAACACTTTGGTAGCAAATATCAAGCAGCTTAAACTGATATGACACCCACATATTTGAACTTTTCTAACTTTATCTAGATGGCCCAAATCTACATTGTGGAACAAACAATCAAGATTACTATCAAACAAGCTTTTTGAGATTCACAACCTATATCTGTAGCACCTTAGCCCCCAACAATACCAAATGCAGTTTGACGGCCGGTACATATTTGACTCATGTTCCCCGGGAACTTTTCTGCATAGCCAGGTCAGAGTATGTTCCCGAATCTGAATGCTCTTTGACAGAACATGTATTTGGACCCTACAACTCAACACACCACCAAACCATTCATTATGGGATGGGATTCATGCACTTTCATTCCTGCTAGCACAACAAAAAACTTTGGACTTAACACCCCTACTATTGTTGCGCAGCCCTTCCTCAGGTTTGTAGAGTCGGGATTCCAGTTTACCCACAACAGAGGACCCGCCCCCAAACTCTGCACAAAACTCATCCAATTATTTTTCTATGGAACTTCCTCATCAACAAAATCACTGGTAGGTTGGACTTCTAGTTCTGGAAGATCAAGATACAACATCTTATTCAGCCAAGGTGCAACTTAAGAAATATGGTCCTGATATGCCCTGAGACATACATCAGAATCTATCTAGGCACCATTGCACACTCCAATTGTCTTACGGAGAGTTTTTTGCTTCTTATTGCAACTCAAAAATCAAAATACATTTGCTTTGAGTACCCAGTTCTTTATTACCCTCTTCCCTCCCTACCTGCTGACAAGACAACTAATTTTTTCAGTTGTAAACTTGTAATAAGCCAAACATGTCAAGCTTAAACCCTACTTAAGAGTTCAGAACTGTCTTACACTTTCTTTCCTTGGGAGTCTCCCAGAGTGTTTCAAGCAAGTTAAAATTAACACGCTACAGCCATATGCAACAAATACCACATCCCAGAGATAAAGATATAAATTTTTTCCTAGCACCAAATAAGAGTGAAATTTACTGAGTTAAGTAAAGCCAAAAACAATTTCAGCTGGTTCTTATTACACTATCGCACCCACAAAAGTAAGTCTTGCCACATATTTCCTTACTGCTGTAGAATGGAAAAATAGATATCATACATCTTCCAATAACAAAGTATAAATAGGTCATGAACTTATGGGAGAAAGCAACCCCATGTACAGATCATAAAAAGAAAGTAAAGTACATATGAAAAAGCAAAACCCGTACATAACATGGTCAAATATAAATTGTACAGAGTAATTATTTATAAAGTTAGCTAGTGTAGGTTTAAAGGAAGCTAGTTACAGCCAATAGAAGTGAACAGAACTTTTTTGGGAAATTATTTACCAAAAAATTTCTCTTATAAAAATGTCCATAAAAGAATACAGAAACTGATTTACAAAACCTAATAAAAAACCTTGGGACTCTGAACAAACCTAGATGTTCCTTGAGGCAAAGGCAATGCACTTCTATTTGCCTGATTAGCTAGGCCAGAAGGAAGATTTTGTGTCTGTGCGGGGCCAACCTGTTGTTGGGTTTGTTGAAGCTGTTGCTGCTGCTGAACATTCCCAGACTCTGCTGTAGTAGGTTTTCCCACAAAATTGTTGGGTGCTTGTGCAGGTTGGTACTTCTCTCCTTGTTGGGGAAAACCAGCATTCCTTTGTTGATAGAACTTATTTGAGTTGTTGTAATTGTAAGAATTCAAATGCTGGATCTTCTGAAGGACTTCTTCCACTGGAGGTGGAGGTCCTGGCAGCTTTGCGTGTCTATACCGGCAATCAGGACCATTTGGACAAAAACCCAACTTGTACCTACAATGACAAAACCCTTCCATAAGAACAAATAAAACTTCGATAAATTCATGGTTTTATTCACGTCGAAACTAGACTCCAATATTTGGGATAAAGAAGTTCAAATAATGAGGAGAAGCAGCAACTTTAGATAATTTTGTTTCTTCTACCCTCCAGTTATGAACCACGAATCGTCGAAATCATATGATCGCAGAATACCAATATCAACAATTCCTAAGGAATCCACAACATCAATATTACAATACGACAATTGAACTCAATTCAGTACAACTTTAACCTATCCATTAAGTTCAAGATCAGAATCACCACCTAGTTGAAACAACCAAATTCAACCAAAAACTAACAAAGATGAATCAGGAAACTGGCAGAGAAAAGCAAGCCCATACATATTACACTCTTTGATGTCCTCGTTAGTGTGCTTGTACACGCAGTCCTGCTCGCGGCACTCACCGTACAACCGGAAGAAGCGGCACACGGGCATGCGCGACTTGTCGTATTGGTGGAGGAACCCACAGGCATCGCCCTTCATACAAAGGCTGCGCAGCCAGTGACGACACACCGTCTGGCGATAGCTCCGCCCACCCATCCGGTTCGCATTCTGATTGGGCTGCGGCGCCACAGCGGCCTGGTTGGACCCCACCCCGCCAGGACCCGTGACGGCCGAGTCGGATTGCATCACGGAATAATTAGAAGTTGGGCCCGTGTTGGCGGGGCCCGCAGAGGCCGAGACGGTGGCGGCGGCATCGAGGCCGCCCTCGAAGTCGAAGTTGAGGACTCCGTCCGAGTCCTCCATTGGGCGAGCTTCGTATTTGTCTGGGTGTGAGGGTGGGTGGATGGTTGGAAGATTTGGGATTTGGGGGTTTGATCAGATAATTAGGGTTTTAGAGATTGTGATGAGAGAGGGGAGAGAGATGCGAAACGTGCGTTTTGGGGATCTAGGATGATGAAGGAGGAAGGAGTGTCGGTTTCGACAGTCAACAGGGAGCAACAAAGGGCGCCAACACCAGGACGCGCAGAGGAGGAAGGGTTTAGGGCGGTCGGGGTCAAACATTTCGGCGGGTATTCGGGTTTGGGTTCTCGTTGCGTCCAATTCGGGTTGGAAGCAAAGTAGCATTCTGGCCCAACCAAACGAGAAAGGCCTCTCATCCGGGGAGATGCTACTTTCATTTTCTTTTTTCATTTAAGTTCAACAATTCATAGATACTATCGTTACGATTAGTGGTATTTTTTCACTTATAATTGATATAGTTATGCAAATTTAAAACGTAAAAGTCATATTTACATGTCGTCTATTAAAGAACTTTTTGGTCAATAAGAAACATTAAATGTCCATTTCAGTTTTTTAGTTGAGTGATAACGTTAGTAGATTAAATAGTTTATTATTAAAAGGGAAGATAATCCGTGAAAATCGAACTTGCACAAGAATACATAGGCATGGTTGTTTACTCCCATTGCATTAAAACGTCATCTGCAATTAAATGCTCATTTCAAGATAGAAATGCTTTTAACTTGACATAAATTCACACTAATTTGTTATATCAAAAGTTCTATCCAGTTGACATTTAATTTATTTTGCGGACATTTTCTCATTTACAAATTCCAAGATTTTATTTGTTTGTTTTGAAGAATATTTTTTGAAACTGTAAATCAAACTTTTCTCTTTTGGTCAGTGAAATTATAAATCAAATTATCATGATGGTGACTATTGCGCAGCAAGCAACGAAGGAATCAAAAGGACTCTCTCGTGTCTCCATCGCATGGTTTCCAGAGGATTTTCGCTGGCTTCTTTTTGTGAGGTTTTTGAAAATTCTTCAATTACATTCGTTCATTGTATATTGTACAATTAGAAACTATTGTAAATTTTTTTATTTAGAATTGAATATAAACAATACCTAACAAAAACTGACCGCACAATGTACGATGAACGGATATGATTGAAAAATCTCTGGAATCCTCACAAACGGCAAGGATCCTCTCTCGTTTTCATGCGCATCATTTGGCCTGATTGAATCTCGGCCGTCCACTTTTTCAAATGAAAACCAGCGGCCGTGACGGAGTTTCAAGAGAACAGGTGCAGCAAAAACGCGGCAGCCAAAGGGAAACGTTGCTAGTTACAGTAAACACAAACAAGACAGTAAATTCATGCTCTTCCAGTTATAGCCTGAAATAACAAAATATTCTGATGGGAAATGCCGCGTCCGAACGCTAACAGTACATCGGCGAACAAATGTAACGCCGGAAATGCAAGCCATCGGATCAAAAACGAGAAACAGCATCAGACAATCAATGAACTTATTTCCAAAATAAATTTCATATTCAGAGAAGGGGGGAGAAAGGGAGTGTGGGAGAGGGAGAGGGCAACTATATATATTGACAAGTTCTTGCTAAAAATACAGCGGGGAGAGCGTGACAAATCCAAATTCTGTAACACCTAAACTGTAGACAAATTAATGAAACATGAAAGTTACTTTGCTACGAGGGTCTGCAAACGAGAACCTACCGCCTTCCCTTTTCCTCAATGTTCAACTGGAGAAAGGGCGTGAGGGGGGCTAGAGTAGAGAACGAGGACAAGATCAGTTCTTACAGGTGGGGAAAAAATATCATCAGCCCTATTCAACAACACTGACTCCGATGATGTGCGCAAGGCCCTATAGATACAGTCGCCTTGCCCAACCAAGTGTCAAGATTCAACTTCCCACCCAATCACTGTCGTGGTGTAATGAGTTAGCCCAGTTAACTGATCATCAAGAGTATACATTAGTTCCCTTCCTTGTCTTTCTCTTTATCACCTGCAGCCGCTTCTTGACTGCCTTTTGTTCCCACGTCGGCAGCTGCAGCATCAGAAGTGGTTGACTCAGAACGTGGCTTCTCGTTGCCTGGTTCTGACAGCTCAGGCGGCTTTGAAGTTCCCTCAACTGTTGATTCAGCTTGAGGCTCAGTAACAACTTTATCATCTTTTATCAGTGGCTCGGAAGAGGACGGAGAACATTTAGCTGCATCTGCAGATTCCGTTTGAAGCTCACCATTTGGTAGGACATCAGATGGTTCCCCAGAGTCTGAACTCTCCCTCCATTCAACCCACTCCGGTGGTTTTTCAGTTTCAACAGGTCCGACTTCTGGCGAATTGTTGGGGACAGCAATTTCTGAATCTTCTGGTTTTGTTCCTGGTTCTGGAGAAGATGTTGCGGTGTCAACCAAGTCATCATCTTCACCAACAATGACATCATCATCATCATCACCGCCACCACTGACAGCATTAGACTCCACCATATTTGGTGATGGAGAAGCAAGAGAACCAGTTGAGCGATCAGTGGCAGCCCTGTCATCCTCAAACGCAAACCAGTTGGAATTTGTAAACAGAGAACCACTGCAATCAGAAAGGCAACCATGTCAAGCAGTTCAAAGCACTTGTATTATATACATAATCAGGAAAGCTAGATATGCACAATAACACTACTAGTAAGAGTCCAAAAATCCATTCAGAAGTTTAGGCCCTCTATCACATAACCCATGCGAAGAACTATAAACCAAGAAAACGACATGAAAAGAAAATTGTTTGCTTCAAACGTCGGCATTATAAGCCATAAAACCCAATATTCATGACATTATGGTGGGTGCATTTTTTATCACCAGCCTCAAGAGATGGTAATGCTCACCATCCTATTTATCACCGTTCGATGAGTTTCAATTTTGAGACTTGTGTCTATCCACTACACATCTCGAAATTCGAATCATCCAATGGTGATGGATAGGGTGGTTAGCTGTCACCATCAAATGAGAGTGGTGAGCAAAAATATTCCTATTATGGCCAGGAATAGCCTACATGCATTGATTTAGTTGTGACAATCAAACTCTGCATACAGCTTCCTGCTGAAGGATTGTCTTGCCAAATATCCTAATAGAATCTAAAGAGTAAAGATTAAAGGACTTTCCACCTACCTTTCCTGGTCATCTCCCAAACGCAGTGAAGATATAACAACTTCAGCAGATTCATCATCAAAGTAGACATCCTGTGCCAAAATTATATAGTAAGGAATTGTTGCAAAACCTTTTTATATAGAAACAAACAGTAGTCAACACTGATATCATCAAAACATAACAAGAAAAAAAATTCATGCTCAATGAATGGAGTAAAATTGCAGCATATTTGATACCTCATCATCCCGTTCAAGTGAGCCATGGCCCTGAAAAGCATAGATTCTTAATATCAATAATCATCATCACAGCAACATTAAAGTAATAATGACAAAAGTGTTTGGAACATTTTTGGACATTGTCATCTTTCCATTCCCTCTAGGACCATGTAATGAGACACCACTCAATTTCATAGCTGTTGCGATAAGAAACGAAAATTCCAGGTGCTGAAAATATTAACCGACAACTTTATCATCTAAACGCTCCAGGGGAAATGTGGATAGAGTAATCGCTCTCCTAAAGATTAAATGCAGTAACAGAGACGTTAAAAAACTAATTATAATGGCACCAAATTATCTAGTCTTAAAAAGGGAAATTTGTTCTATGTGGTACTTCCTAGCTATGTGCATATGACGATAGTTAGTGAAAATTACTCCTGAATATTTAAACAGGTCTATTTGCTAACTTCTTCATTTATACTTTTCACCCAAGCAAAGGGTACTTTCTAATCTAAAATTTTGAAAAGAAAAAACACAGGCGGTCTCTTACAATGTAAAGTGTGTAGATATAGGATGATAAAATAAGCACAGGTATAAGGGGGTACCTCATCTAACTCATCGTTGTTGTATATTCCATATCGGAAAGCCTGGCTTAGGTTATTTGCAAGAGCTGCAACATCGTAATCTCTATCTTGATAGTCATCATCATCACTATCCCTATTTCGATCATGTAATGCAGTTGGCCGCCTGTTACAGTTGATTAACCATAATTAAAAGGCCAAAAACATGAGGCCCAAAGGACAGTGGAGAGGTAATAAAGAAATGAAAAGGGTCACATTGATAAATTACTATTGTATCAAGATGCAAACAACAAAAGCAATATTTTACTAGAATAAAACCACATCTATCATGTTTGATGTCCACTAGTAACCATATGTGATTTACTACAGCTTTAGAACTGGCACCGCAAATCAATGGTAAATGTGACATGAAAAAACCAACTGCTTTTGTGAGGAAAAGCACATACCCACAGGCCCATTGATAGACGTTCTCGACTGTATTACGCCTTGACAGGACACTTGCCTGCCACTCCGCCCACTCGATGTTCTCCTGCAAGATAATTACAACTCTAAAAATGACTTTGACAGTGAAAACAGTAGGCACCATAATATTGGTAGCGTTATGTTTCTTCCATTCAGTCATAGATAACAGAATACTTATTTTCCATAAACTAAAAAGGCTAAAAAATACAAAAAATAAAGATAAAAAACCTGCAGCAGCGTCTGAATCTCGCTATTGTTATTTCCAAGCTGAATGAGTTTGTTGGATATACGTGTTAAATGTCCAATGTTCCCTATTCTGGGTGGGGATCTACCCTCTGCAGGAACAGTTGGCTGAAAGAAAAATGAAACAAGACAATGTTTAAATAGGTTTCAATAAACTACTAACCGAAATAAAATAATAAGTACATAAGCTATCTGGATGCAAGATATTAGTAATATATAAAACAATGCAGCACCACCTTGTCCGCGTCAGCTGCCAATGTAAAATTCTTTTCTGCTTGAAGTATTTTTCCAACAAGGTCACACTCACAAAGAAGATGTTCAACAAGAGGAATATTCTTGCTTTCTAAACACGACACAATTATGTTCTCTATGTGGTGATGTACAAAGTTGTTATATGGGTACCTGGAGTGGCAACAGAATCACGGCATAAGGCACTTGTATCAAATCAGTCTTTCTATAAACATGAAAACTTTTGTACTTACTTAAAAAACAAGTCTAAAATTCTCTGTACAGCACCAAGACGAATCAATTCCTTCTCAGCAGCTTCACTACCAACCGTAAGTAATACTGAAATGAACTCTACAACCTGAAGAGTACCATGTTCAGAATAAACAGAATTAAACTACAAACATCACCCTTAAACAAACTATGAAAGTTTCAAGGGGCTTGTAAACATATTAATTGATTATTACATTTAACTAATAATGTTCCATAACAAACAGTCCAATCATACAGGAAGGCTTTTGTGGAGAAAGAACTCAATTCTTAAAAGTGAGCAAGGACAACTTGAAAAGACCATTAAAATATTCACCTTTAACCGATGTTTTCCAAGAGGCGGCTGCAACTTGCCATATGTAGTTAACAGCGTGTTATCCACCGATGAAACATCCAACAGCTTCAGCAAATCACCTAAACAATTAGAAGAGATAATACTTAATCCTTAAGAAAATAAACAAAACACTCTCTTCAAATTCCTATTGCCATTAAAAAGGAGCATAGAAACTCTGCACGGTCATATGAATGTGTAGACAAAGCAGCCATATATCAGCTCACACTTAACTAAAAGCAAAAACCATAGTCAAAAGGAGATAACTTTACCTAGGCTCTCCAGCATGCCCACAACAGTCTCAGGATTAGCAGTAACTGTGGATCCATGAGTCATCTGACGGCCATACATATGATATGTTCCCAAAGTTTGCCTCCTAGGGTCTAGCAAAGAGATGCATACTGACAACGAGTTAACAAGAACAGATTTTGGCCGTGAGTCCTCCAAAGCATGCCGAAACAATCTTCCTATAAAACTGCACAAAATACACAAATGAACTTTAATGAAGAAGCTATAAAGAAAATGCATGTATAACACTAATCAATAATTATGTGAAACAAATCTTACCTTGGGCTGGAGATTTTAGAAGAAAGTCCAGGCGGAGCAAACCGTGTTATAGCACAAAGTGTCTCTGCTGCATTAGCATGCACTTCAGGAGAATCCTGTAGAAATCAGGATCATTAGAGTTTGCTCATTAACACTCAACATTCTTTAAGCACATCAAACAGAACATCTATAGTAATATAGTAAAATGGGTAGAACAAAAACAAATACATTGAGTAAATTTATTTTTTTTACAACAGGCAATTAAAAAATTCAGACTTTACACAACCTCTCTGTTCAAACATGTAGATAAAAAATAATAATGAAGAATGATTAAGAAACCCACGTTGTCTAGTCATTCAACCACATGAATATAGCTTAAATGTAAAATTAATCACATACTGAAGAGCTGAACTTGTCCACAATCATCTCTAGGACATCTGTATCTTGTATCCAGTGCATTGCCTCCGTATGATTAGAATACATGTGTTCATCAGCACCAACCAGACGTATCAAAACCTATAAAACATATAAATTGGGTTTTCAACTATTCTCCACCTGTAAGGCTAGCAATCTTAATGTGCTTCTTTTGTCTAAGTTTAAAAAGAAGTGCATTAAAGAAGCTCAACTATGGAAAGAAACAAACAACAGTCTACAACCAACCTCCATGATAGATGTAATTCCAATCAGGTCAACTAGCTTCTTAACAATATCTTGATGACCCTGAATGTGCACATAAAAACAGTGGATCAGCTCGAAACTAAAGCAAATAAATTAACTCGTGAAAACCTTAACCCTCTTACTATCTTAAACATGATATATGATGTGATAGCAAGTATTCAATAGAGAATGAAATATACATGTATCATGGTTAGTGAGGATATTGGGTTCAATCTGTTTGAGGAGAACATGAATCTATGAAGTCATGCATCTAGTAATTATAAGGACATACACACCAACAGAATTATCAAGCAGACAAAGGCTCAAAAAGCCAAACAGACTGTCGCATTTAAAAGTTCTTCACACAACCAGACACCACTTTATGAAATTACAAAGAAACTTATGTAAGCCCAAATTTTCCCCTTTTAATCCACCAGAATGCATTTCAGACACCCATTGGCCCATATCACGACAAAATTTCAGAAAGTTAACACCTAAGCAAAAAGGATTTTGAAAATAACAATAATGGACTTACCTGAATATACTGCAGGAAAGGAACTGTCTTGCGCAACAGCAGACAAACAACAACCTATGATAAAGAAATTAAAAATGTAAAACCTAAGAAAGAGGAACTAAACATCAAGTAAACATATATAATTTACCTTGGTAAAACTACTCTCATGTCAAAAAATGAAGATAGCATTTAGTTCAACAAGAAAATACCTTGCTAAAGTACCCAGCCAAGAGTGTGCTGTGAGAATTATTTGGTTCCAAAAAGGAGAACAACAAGTTCATCAACTGGCAACACGATATAACCAAGTTAATCAAAAGTTGAATATGTTACACATTCTTCAAAACTATCAACCAGAGTCATTCAGAATGTATAGTTACAGTTTCTTACCTCCTCATCCTCTACCAATGTTTTGAGTATGATATCAACTTCACAAGTAAAAATCTCACACGCAATAAAAGGAAATCTGCATCACACAACAAATGGACTTGATCAATCACATGGATAGAGTAATCCAGTAATGCTCATGTTTACATGTGCATTCAATGCAACGCACTTGAAAGTTCGTCTCTTTTCAGCATCCTCAGGAACTTCTTCAACTATGTATCGGATTAGTTGCTCAACCTGGGCTCTTTCTCGCAAACTGCAATGTAGGGCACCACAAATAATTTAATATATTAACATATCTTGAAAAATGAAAAGGAATATTACAGGGATTTTATGCATAAAAGGAAAACAACACAACTAAAAAAGTGCAAACAATATTATACGTAAAATATTTAAGACAAATTAGAGTCTTTAGACAATCTTATGTTTTTTGGCCAGAGAAATAAAAGATTTGCTCAAATTGGATGCAAATCAAAGCTTGGAAAATAAAAACATTCCATCTACATAGGGAAAAAAAATAAAAACGACATTTCCAAGGTAGACATCTCAAACCATTGAGGCATGGAAATCAAGTAGTTCAAGCCCAAATTTCTGATTCAAAACCAAAGAATTTGCATCTATATGCCAACATCAGAGTCCCAAATCTCTAAGCCCCAAACCATTATAAGGAATCATTTTGAGAATAGCTCTTAAAAGGATGTGTTGAATTCCTGCTTTCATCTTTCAACACGTTGGTCTTTTGATACATGCACATGACAAAACATAAAATTATTCTGACAAATGCACTGTAGCAGCCCTTACCCAAAGACACTGAGCAGAAGGATAGAAGCCCTCTATTAACTCACTCGTTGAGGTACAACAAAATAAATAAGGAGCAAGGAAAAGAAAACAAAGGTCAAAAATATAGTGGCAGTAAGAAAATGAAAGGAGCATTACAAATTGATTAGGCGGCCATTAAGAGCTTTGCATTCCTGAATAATTTCATCTTCATCAAGCAGCTCTTCCAACGTGAAATTATCCTTGTCCAAAATTGTCTCCACCTGAACCATAGAATAAAATAAGAGACACAAACACATAAATTAGGCTAGGAAACAAACAAAGAGCTAGTTTTCTTATTAGTGAAAACCCATGGTATGGACCACATAAAGCAAGTTCATAGTAAACCAACAAGCGCAGGTGACAGCTGGAGACCATCCCAGCCTTCTAGGGTAGGGCATAAGACACAATGTAAATCAGCGCAGATATAATTGAATGATTCAAGGGAAGCACATCATGCAAAAATATTAATACAACCTATTTTTAAGCCTGCATATAATCATATCCAATTTTGAAAACCAGACACCCAAAAATGGTTAAAGCTTGGTGCATCATAGGATTTTGAAAAGTCTCCAAACCTTGCACAACCCTCAAACACCCCTTATCGAATTACTAACTGGCATGTAACGCGTTGCCACGGTCTGACTTAACAAAAATCCATGTCTACTACACTAAAAACCACTATGTTCTAAAGACGCTGCCACTACTTTCCAACCGTAAGATTTAAATAAATAATCTTTTCAATGGCGTTTTCCGACTGCCACAAAGTGATATATTAGAAAGTTCATAGCTCCCACTACACCACTGATCCCAATTCTGGATCCGAAACCAAAGACAACATGCCCAATTTCAAACATAGTCCCAATTGCCCACCCCCCAGCAGTTTGCACACACGTAACAACTCTCCTTAAGATCCAAATATTCCAAATTTCAATTTCCAATCCCACATTTTCTTCACCAAGCAAACAAACTTCACCAAGATTCAATCCGAACATATCATAAATAATCCAATACCGCGCCCCGCACACCAAATGTCAAAACAAAACAAGAGAAAACAAAAACGACGTCGGACAACTCACCGGAGACGCCGTGGACAACCCCGCCATACGCCAGAACATGGTGTGAATTGAGGAGCGAAAATGGCCTCCGCGCGGCGAACTGAACTTGGATCTGCGAACCCCCAGAAAACGAACCCTAGCGCGCCCTCACAAAATCCCCAAAGCGAGGATTCACCAATTGCCGAACCGCCCAAAACGCCGAAAGTGATCCGAGCATGGGATGCGAAAACCCTAGAAATTGGAATCCGCGGATTCGATTTGGATCTAAATCGAGGGCCGCACAGAGATGGCAGAACCCGACGAAGCCTGCAATCGCGGTCGGGGGTGTGTGTGAGAGAGAAAGAGAGAGAGTGTCGTTGGAAATGAAATGGAGGGTTGAATTATTATATGGCTCCCAAATATTATTTTCCTTTTTCGTGTTTTATAATCTATGCTTTTTTTTTTTCAATCATTTGGATGGCTATTTATTTACAAATAAAAATAAAAACATTTAACAAACAAAAATTATTTAACCAAAAAATATATATTTGGATGGCTGTTCCAACTTTGCGATGACAATGGAAACACGGCTCATTATACCAAATACTATAGTATAACTAATTAAAAAAAAAAATTAGGTTTCTAAGTACTTGTGTTATGAAACTTGATGTGCCGATTTCGTTTTAACACATTGAAAAATCTCTTAAAAATATGTCATTGTTATAATTTTTGGGGCTAGGTTTTGTTGCTCTCCTAAGTTGGAAGGTTGGAGTGTTGTTGTGCACTTGCCTTCCATCTCTTGTTTTGTTAGTTTTATTTTTCAATACTCTTCTCTTTTTCTTTGTTTTTATCAATCATCGAAGTCACGTCATCAGAGTTAAACTTTAGTTGTGAATGTGAGCAAAACAATAAAGATTAAGATGCAATGGCTAAAGCTTGAATTTTGAATTTTATAGTTTTGTTTTGTATCATATAACATCAACTTTAAAATTATTGAACACTGGTCAACTATAGAACGTCATTAACTTGCTAAAAGGTCTTTGTTGGGACACTCATGCTAAAAGCACATTGAAACTAATCCCACAAGTTGAGGCCATAACATGTGGCAATCGCTCATTTGCTATCCGTGACGAGTGAGGGCGCCACATTAGCTACGTTCAATCCCACATTAGCCAAATCATAAAAGTTCCTCCAACTTCGTCTCTACAAAAGACTCTAATCTAACGTAATTATTGTTCAACACTTATATTACTACTAAACTCGCCCAATGTGATGCCTTAAACATACTTTGCTAACTTAAGAATTGAAGACTCTTATGACGTCGGTGTCTTGCAATACTTACTCTACCTTACTTGCATGTTGCTTTGTCCGTCTACCTTTAATTGAAGCTCCCTCGTGAAGGTCACTTCACCGCACTTTATGATTGAGCTCTCCATGACTAAATGTATCACTTCCCCACGTAATTGGTGCTGAAGCACTTCAATTACTTTTAGAATAAAAAAACATTTATCTAAAAATATTTTCAATCATTTTAAAAGCAGTTTTAAACATGCTGATATTTTTAACCTTTGAACTACAATTTTAGATAAAGAAAACTAATGAAAATAGTTTGAAAATTTGAGTTTCAACAATAATGACAAAATAAATGGTAAAGTGAATAATATCATAATTGACTTTTTATGTAAAAATATAATTTTTTGTTAAAATGAAAAATACCGAGAACTTTACGTTAAGGTTCTTTTAAATACTCATCGTCAATGTAAAATTTAGATATTGGACCATCTCTAACGGATCTTGGCATGTAAGCTTTAGGCTCGGATCTTTTTTCAGACAGAAAACGGTGTGTGATTTAGGACTGATTTGAGTAAATCAACCATCTATTGGGCTAAATTTACCAAAGAAAAACAATTGTATTAACGAAACTATAGAAGAGAAATGCAACAAAAACAAAACTTCAAGAGGGGAAATGATAATTCGAGTGAACTACAGGGACTGCTTAGTGCAATTTTGACAAAGAATTTCGTAACCAATACTTTCCTCAGTTCAGTTTCTAAAGCCGGAAAGCACACGCAGAGTCATGTAGCTGCACGTCCTGCATCCGCCATTCATTTGTTGGTACGCTTCCTTCCCTTCCTTCCCTTCTTTCTGTTCATTATCCTAATCAATCTATAATCTCACACCAAATCCAAACCCCAAAACGCAAATTTCACCGATTTCCCCCATAACCCATTTCTTATTTTCCACCAAATCCCCATCAGAACCCCCAAAATTCACATCAATCAGCAGGCTTTCAATTCTCTCTGGGATTTTCAGAGCTCTGTATTTGAAGAGAGAAAGTGGGTAGTCGTCTAAATGCTAGGTGGGTTGTACGGAGACCTCCCTCCGCCCTCTTCGGCGGAGGAAGAGAAGCCCAGCAACAGCACGGTGTGGTCGAGCAGCACGAAAATGGCGCCGCAGACACTCCGGAAGCCAGCGTCGATTTTCGCCCCGCCGCAGACGATTCTAAAGGCACAGAGCAAGCCTAAATCATCGAATTCCGTGCAGCCGAAAATTACAGCGTCACCGGTGGTTGCATTGTCGCCGGCGGTGATACACGATGACGTGGCGCGACCTGAGCTGGTTGGGGTGACGTCGACGGTGCTGGAGGAGTATGATCCGGCGAGGCCCAATGACTATGAGGAGTACAAGAGGGAGAGGAAGAAGAAGGCTATGGAGGCCGAGATGAGGCGGGAACTCGATAGGAGGCGGCAAGAGGAGGAGGAGAAGGAGAGAAGAGAGAAGGAGGAGAGAGAAAGGGAGAGGGAAAGGGATTTTGGAGAATCAAGAAACATTTCGGGTGAGGAAGCCTGGAGGAGGCGTGCGGCGATGAGCGGGGCAGCAACGCCGTCAGTTCCGAGGTCCCCATCTCCGCCGAGTAATCCAGATGGTTTTACCATTGGGAAGTCGGACAGTGGAGGGTTGGGGCTTGGGGCTGGCGGCCAAATGACCGCGGCACAAAGAATGATGGCGAAGATGGGGTGGAAGCAGGGTCAAGGGCTTGGTAGGCAGGAGCAGGGGATTACCACTCCCTTGATGGCCAAGAAAACGGATAGGCGAGCCGGGGTGATTGTGAATGCTAGTGAAACAAAGCCGGAGAAGAAGGTGAAGAGTGTCAGCCTTAACGGGCCACCCACCAGGGTTTTGCTGCTTAGAAACATGGTATGCGTATACTTTTTGGAATTTCACTCATCATAATTTGTTCTTTTGAGTGATGATGGTACAAAATTTGATTTACAATCGTTTTAAATTATGACTCGGAAGGATATCTAATTGCTAGATTGAGAAACTATACAATCAAATCAGCTGTTGGGATCATGGCCAAAAATTTATTGGCTCGTATCAAAGTTTCATGGGCTTGAGGCATCACTTTTAGGAAAATTATAACTGGGTGGAAGACGGTGTGTGAAAAAGAGGCAACGTAAAACCACATGTATGATTGGAAGGTTTTTGCTTGTGTAAGACATTGACTTGGAGAGTTGTGATTTTTTTTTGGAAGATTGATGAATGGGCTTCACTGGAAACGTGACGTATGAAATCGGACTTGTATCTAAAACATAAGTGGTGCATAATGTTTTCTTCATTTTTATGTACAATTTTATGCTTAGGATTCCTTAGCTAATACAATATTAGCTGCTTTAACGAAGAACGGCATTACATGTTACCTTGAAGCTTTGCAGGGCTTGAGTAAATTTTAGAGCGTATTGTTAGGTTAGCTTAGTACACTACTGATGTTGAGTCTGTAAACTCTCCAGAGGGTTGCATTTTCTTTTCCTGTATATCTTGCCCGTATGTCCTGTGTATCATTGTTCAAGGGGTTGATGGTTTGTGGAACCGAACCGAACCATACATACAATTATAGCACAACGTTTTTTAGCTGTAAAACCCTATCAATCTTTTTACTTCAAAGAAAGTCATAAGTCCTTTTAGGTCTTCCTATATAATCTGAACTATTCTATCTTTTATGTCCTCCTTTTCCCTGAGCTGGACATTAAGTTTAACCTCCACTGCTGAAATCTGTCTAGTCTTTACATCTTTAGATCGTTGAACAGAACAATATTGTAGTTCCATGACTTCTCCTTAACTTTAGTTTCTTTTTAATGCACACTTTCTTTCTAGGATTAAAATTGTCAACCTTTCGACCTTTTATTAGGACTGGCCATTGGACCGAAACAACTGAAAAATAAACTGAGCTTTAAGTTTCTTTTGTTAGGTTTGTTAGGTACCATCAAGAATATTGTTATTCTATTAGCGCTCATTTTGTTGCTGACTACGGCCGCGTTTTACTGAAAATTTTAATTATTATTTTACCCTTGAACGAATTTACCTGTAAACTTTTCAAGCCTTGAACAAATTGCAGAAGATCTTGGGCCCAAGTTCTTTCAAGTGTTTTAGGAGTAGTTGAGTATGGGGGCAAGAACAAAAATGGATTGAACTAAGCACCCGTATTAGTCAAATTGGTGTACAACTGGTTAAGTTGCGTTTAATAGTAAACACCAATCCTGTTCTTTCTATAAAAGCCGCAGGATTCTTTGGGAAGCTAATGAATTTGATGAACGAACTTAACCTAGGCTTTCTTCTGTGAAGGTTATTGATCTGTGAAAACAGACTAACACGGTGACTATTTGATATGGAGAAGAAATCGGTGTTTTTTAAACTTATTTGACAACCCATTTATTATATTGATTTCTTGTTCTTATGGATAGTTAATTGCAATTCAAGCTGATGTGCTTTGTTATTGAAGGTGGGCCCTGGAGAGGTGGATGATGAATTGGAAGATGAAGTAGCTTCAGAGTGTGCAAAATATGGGACAGTGACCCGGGTGCTTATATTTGAGATAACAGAGCCAAATTTTCCAGAGAACGAGGCGGTGAGGATCTTTATCCAGTTTGAGAGGTCTGAAGAAACGACTAAAGCATTGGTTGACCTTGATGGTCGGTATTTTGGAGGCAGAGTGGTTCGTGCCACGTTCTATGATGAGGAGAGGTTCGGTAACAACGAGTTGGCTCCAATGCCAGGAGAAATCCCAGGTTTTACTTGAATTACAGAGTTTCAAATGCAAGCTTATTTTCCCGCATATGTAGTTACTGAGAAAGATAAGGTAGGCTTTGATTTCGACATTGCCACTAACGACATGTGTTGCTAGCAGTGTTAGTGGAATTCAAACTCTGGTAGTAGCTTTATTTTTGTGATTGGATCAAGCTTATTTAACACTGTAACTGTACAATCACATAAAAGGTGGTTACTGCTCTTAGAATGCTTGACCAATTCCTTGTGCCACAAGGGTTTTTTCTTTTTCCGGGCTGTTTCGGCCCTATTTTTTTAACCGTTAAGGGTTTTAAGCTTCTTTTTTTCCACTTGCCAACCAAAACGAACAAGGAAACAAGTAATTGACACTGCAAATGCATATATTAGAAGAAAATCAGATTGCAGAAATTCATCACAGCACAGCATATACTCTGCATAGCCACCAACTATTTCATATCCTAACTCAAAGTATGGGATGAACTAAACCATATAATATATATGAATTAAGGAAGATACGGATTGTTCTAAGGGCGGTGATGTGGAGGCGAAGCAACCGGCATGGTATTGGTGGAGGCCCTGGCTTCCGGCAGTTGGTGGTGGCCACCATACATGTACAATGACGAGTAGATGCTCATACTGCTGCTGGGGTTGGTGGTGGTGGTGGAGGTGAAGGCGGGGAAACGACATGGAGAATCTGTGGTTGAACAATCACCACGCTACGCCTCGGCGTTGGTGTCGCTGTTACCACCGTAGTGCTCGCTTTGGGGTTCCATGTTGGTGCAAATTGAACACCATAGAAAGCTTCAGCGTTGGTAGGAACCATGAAAGGAGGAGGAGATGCATAATTAGTGTGGTGGTGGTGTGAGTGTGAGTTGGGAAATTCTGCAAATCCAAGTCCTCCATTACCACGAAAACTTGCATTATTGCCCATCACAGAAAAAACATTGCCATCAGCTCCAATTGCATTTCCATTTCCACCCACAAAAATGGGGTCGAATTCACCATATAGTCCTTCACCGCCAATCATATTTGGTGGTGATTGGCGGTGGTGCTTGTTTCTTCTGGGATCTCTGTTGGTGTTGATCATTTGTTGGTCGGAACTTGGAGACCAAGGCTCTGCATGTTTGCCTGCTTTCGCCAACTTTCTAATTAAAGTAGCAAATTCTACGTTTCCTATCACTGTGATCTTCTCTTCTTCTGCCTCTACGTTTACACTATAAACACCTGAATTTAATTATAATTTAAAAAGGTAAGAAGGGTATCATGATAAGTAAATAGTTAATGTTTATAACCCAAGAAAAATACGATGAAATAGTTTGTGCTGCAGATGTGAGTTAGACCAGTTGACTAACGTAACACGATCTTTTCCTTGCATACAAGTTTGAATTTCCATTCCCGCGAATTAGATTAATTAAAAGTGTTTCCTATCACCGCTAGTTAGGGTGAGCTAATGGTCTCCTCTTGCATGTTTTCCTCTACAGTTACTAACAAAAGCATCTTGTCCAAAAGTAGGCAAGGGACTAGTGGCTCAAATGATTAAAAATATTAAACCATCCACCCGAAGTTCAGTGTTCGATTCCTCCTTGGTCTCACATATAGTAAATATGTATTAAACATATTTTCTGCAGTCCAAAAAACTGAGCTCTAATAGGGGATTTCAGTGGAAGTCAGACTTGTGGCTAAGGTTGAAATGCTTTTGTGAGTCTTTCCAGTCTCCAAAAAGGTGAATAACCGTGACTTGCTATCAGTTGTTTTCATTTTTAAAAGAAAAAAGAAAAAGAAAATACGGGGTTCTAAATCCCCTTCCGGTATAAGAAAAACAACAAAAATATGGTGCATGTTGAAGATACATAGAACCTTGGATCTTCCGGAGGAGTTTTTTCACTTTCTGCTCGCATCCTTCACAGTTAACGTGCACTTTCAGAACATGCGTCTGCAACGAAAACACAACGAAAAAAGTATTTCAACTTATATGCATTGAAGAAAAAAATGGAAAGGGAAGATATGTGGGAGGAGGAGGAGACCTGGATACTGAAGAAATCAAAATCAAATGTCGACGACATCTTTCTAGCTGCTGCTGCTCAAACAAGTAGAACAACAAATGAACAAGTTTCCTTTTTAACGAGGAGATTGTGCTTCCTTTTATGGCGATGGGGATTTTTCGTTTTGTTTGGCCAAAATAATGCTTTTCAAGCAACTGAGAAAAACTTCTTCGAAAGGGGATATAACAAGTGTTTTAACCGTTGAATTTTTAATTTATTTTTAACGAAAAAATTAACGGTTCAAACGCCGAGAATATGAGAAACTCTAAAGAAAATATAGAAAGACATGAAAGGAGTAGAAGAACGAAATGTAGGACTGACAGTAGGAGGATAGAAAGACATGAAGGAGTAGAAGAACGAAATGTAGGACTGACAGTAGGAGGAGGCGGTTCGGAAAGTGTGATTTGACCATGCTCAGAGACATGACAAATTTTGGGAGGCATCGTACAATACACACTCTCTCTCTCTTGCGACACTGTGTGCTTAATTGCAACAACCACTGATCTTTTGAAATTCACAGGACTTTTCAGCAAAAATAAGATCTTGAAATTGATATAAATTCTCACTTTAGTTTTTTATAATGAAAATCCATATAAAGCTTCAGCGTTATTTTCAGCAAAAATAAGATCTTGAGATTGATATAAATTCTCACTCTAGTTTTTTATAATGTACTCGGCTTGATGACAGCTCGAGTACATTCCTGCTCATCGAGCTGAGCAACCCTGACTCTCATACACAATCTACAAACAAAGGATTTTCAAGTATGTTGTATCCTATGTATTAACTTCAGATTGTTTACATGGAAAACAGGAAAAGCTACATGGAAAACAGGAAAAGCATACAAGGATGGAGTTAGACGATTGTTCTATGTGCGCCAAACGCCTCCAAGGAAAAGCTCTGCAAGCTATAAATACGTGGAAAAACAGACCATGAGATCTCCAACGCACTCGCTGTCAGGCTTAACCCCGGAACACTTCCATAACAAACCATTAACGTGTTCTTTCAAGACGGCATGAATAAGATGTTGTCTAGTTTCACAGAGGCATTTCAAGGTCCGGCCTTTGATCGAGTACTTGTTTCGAGTCATCTGGAAATGCATCTGGATAGGTAGCCAAAATCCTTGACTTCATGCTCCTGTTATAAATCACCCTAATGAATCAGCATCTCGGTTCAAAGCAGTAATCAAATATAACACAAACTAAACTACATTTGACATCGACAAATTAGCACAAAATACGCAACTTCCTAAGCATCAGGAAGCTAATACATAACTGCATCAACTGGGAAATTGCATTGACCGGAAGTAAACACCACTCTAGACACCAAAATAAATATTCAGTTAAACTCGCAAGGCTCATCCCGTTTTTCTATTTTCGCCTCTGTGTGTGTGTGTGACTTTGCTTTTAGTAATGTCAAAAGATTTAGTAAAAGGAGCCTTGCGAGAATCGGGGGTGGGTTGGTGGGGGGGGGCGTCTATTGTACGTTGCCTTACCCTTACTTTGCAAAGATTAAGTGAGCACTTTAAATAATCAGATCCCAAACCAAAAGAAAGAATTGATCATACCTTAACTTCTGAAATATGTATTCAAGATCAGTCTTCATAGACTTTAAACGGCGTGTGTTTCTGGAGAAATCTGCAGAAACCTCAGCAAAACAGTTCTCTGAAAACTCATTAAAGTGTGACAGGACTGCATTTCCATCTTGCAACCTCCCCAATCTGCACCAGTAGATTCAAATGCCAGGCAAGTAAGCACCCAAAGGCAACGGCAAAAATAAGAGCTGAATCACTGATCATGAAATACAAAAGGTATAACTACTAAATATCCATTCAGTATAAGCATCACACAGTGTTATTGCTGTTTCCGCAGCGAAGGGGAAATATAGGAAACGACAACATTTCTGCATAATATACATGCAAATGAAATTGTTCAAAATAGAAAATCCAATTCCAAGTTTTCAACAATTTGGGCATACGATACAAGCGGGATTAAGACGAGGATATTCAAGGTAAAGTAAGAGTGTCGCAATTGAAGATACGATGAAAGAAAATTGGTTAAGGTAGTCTGGGCATGTGAAACGAAGACCTACCGCTGTCAAGGCAAAAGGGTAGAGAAAGACCTAGAAAGACTTAGATAGAGACTTTACGAAACACATGGAGTACTCAGAGCTAAAGAAAATTTGGCGCAAGTGTTCTAAGATTCATACAATCAACTCCTCTTAATGGGATAAGGTTTTGGTTGATTCCCACTTCTCCTTTCCTCCCACACAAGTTTCTCTATTCAATTCAACAGATGACCAAGTAGGGTTTTAATTTTCACACAAACCCATGATTTAATGTTCACAATATGAATAAAGTTTCTACCTTTCTCTCCCTCTAACTCTTCAAACAGCATTTCACAGAACCCAATTACACATATGAAAATATGCAACAAACAATCGAATTTAAAATTAAACAATCAATGGTAAACAAGAATTTAATAAAAAATTGCTCAGTCTGAGGGGAGAGAGAGAGAGAGAGAGAGAGAGAGAGAGAGAGTTTTCTTACACGATGTGCTGCAATTGTTTGAGGGAATCCAAGTCCTGAGCATCGATTAGTGTTTTGAATTCATTCGATATCTCCTCTGATGCTTCCCTGATCGTTTCTTTCTCCGTCTGTTCCATCTTCTCTTCCACCTACCTATCACTCTCTCTCGGTACTCAACGGAGTTGGAGGTGGTCGGGTGAGAGTCACAGAGCTACTGTCTCCTCTGGGTCGGGCCACAACCCAAATAAGATGAGTCGCATAACCCAAATAAGCAAGGAATTCCAAGAGTTAATTTACATGGGCCGGTCCAAAGTGAGAACTTGCGTAGGCCCACGATAAATTGGCATTAGTAGGTTGAAAACTTGAAGGCTCAACCTTATGTGGTTTATCCACAAAAAAAATGGTTTTCCTTGAGTCCTTTTGTGAGAAAGTCCAAGGATTGTTGGGTGATCAAAACAAACTTACTCTTCAACTCCTAGACAATATTTCATAGTCCTGTTGTGTCACCAATCGATTTCGGTTTAGGGTTTAGACTTTAGAGTTCGGAGTTTAGGCTTCCGTCTAAAAAAATGTAATTTCGTAGTCCTAAAGGTCGCTTTCTAGGTATTTTTGCTCTTGTGTGTAAGCTTCAATAAAATTAGTAACAAACTTCGTTGTATGAGTATAAATTATAATTAACATTTTTTTTATCATTTAGCTCACCTTAGGGCATGTCCATGACTACATGAATGTTACAAAAAAATAACCTTTCAGTTTTGATTAGGGCATTACTTCTTATCACTAACCCTTTTGCGTTCATGCTAGAAGGTTACTTTTGACCCCAATCCTTTATCTCCTTGATATTATGGAAGAAGAATTGAAACAATATTATATAAATATGTTCATTATTTCCCACTACAAACTAAATAAATAAGTTCCAAAAAATACCTAAATAAATAAAAGAAAATTAACTAGGTCAACATATTTACATGCTTTTGCTGGCATAATAAATTTCAAAGTTGTGAGAAGTATGAATCCAAAATTTTCACACTTGTTTGTCTGGTCCAACACAAAACCCTAGTAAAGACTTGTGAAATAGAAACAATCATGACTTATATTTCTTAAAAACCCACCCAGCAAAACTCCAACCATCCACAATATCCCCTTCCTCTTCGAACAAACAAATTAAACATACATATATTGCCAAAACCCAAAACCCACCAAACATCATAACCATCCTGCCCTGCACTGCATCTCCCACCAAACAGCAAAAGTCCCTCGTACTGTCACAGTCCCCTAAAACCCTAATCCTCCAAAAAAAAAACCCAATTCACAGAAACATGAAAGCTTCACCGGTACACCCCCACCAGTCAAACACTCAAACTATTCAGTATTCACCCTGATAACCACTAATTAAGACTCTCTGAATGCCTCTCTTAGACCATGATTGTCTATCGGACTCAAACCCTAGCTGGCTAATAAATAAATTTAAGAAGCCTGCAGATCATTAGATTTGGTTAAAGATCTCATCAAATTTTTTACAGTCAGACAAGCAAAGCAAAGCCCGATAAACTAGCTCAAATCCTAGCTAGGGTTAGTGTTCTCGAAAAGCTAGAGATCTTTGCACTTTAATATTTCTCTGCATTTCTTTTGCACTGGTCTTTTTTCCGTTGTTGGAGAAACCAACCGTGCCATAAAAAGGATTCAAAGGGCACGCCCAAGTTGAAAGCTCTGACTCTACCCACCTGAAAAAGGAGAAATTTTTGGGTGTTCCGGGTACACCAAAAAAATTTGGTGTACCCTCACTCATAATGGTGGACCCTACCCTCACTTTTTTTTCAATAAAATAATAAAATCAAATTTTAATGAGTGTGGGTACACCAAATTTTTTTGGTGTACCCGGAACACCTAAAAATTTTCCCTGAAAAAGGGATCATTTTCTTATTAGATATAAAAAAATGAAAAATGAACATCATAAAAAAATAGAAGCATGAGATTAAAGCAGTATTGGCAAAAGTGGAGAGGTAGGGTGGGTGTCTCCATGCGGGAAACTGCTTTAATTTACTCTGCACCAAAAGATAGAGAGATTCATATCATTTTCCCATAAATAAACCCCATTAGTTTAATTTACCTGTCATCGGTTAATTTGTTAATAAATACGCAAAAAATATAGAGCACGAGACTCGAAATTTTCATAGTGCCTACGCCTTTCGTGCTCAGCTTTAAAAACACCTCGAATTTCAAATGCTGAAAAGCCAAAAGAGGACATCTCAGCCTCAGGGTAGAAGAGCAGACGAGGGCCCTCCTCAAACCATGTAACTGTTTTATGCTCATGAACAGGCATGTAATGTCCATGTTTGAACATGATGATGTCTGTATCTGCATGCTGGAAACGATGCCGTTATTAGGACCATGCATGCATTGCATGGCTTGCGGCATGCATCATGTTATTATATGTACTTCGGATGAATTGCCAAGTAAAATTAGGATGAAAAGAACGTATATAGTGTATTATCAAAAACGTACGTAGTAATCAACTTGTACTAGTAGAAAAAAAAATCTTATATATCTAAAAGAAAACAAACTGATAATTCATGTTATATTATTAGAAATTAGAAGCATGTTTAGGTAACATGAGAAATAATTAGTAGAATAACACATTATAACACCCCTCCTAATCAAGTAAAGAAAAATACATAATAAATTATATGTTCACTACATGCAACTTCTCAAAATAAAACTCATATAACAAGATTGACGTCTTATGTATATTAGCTTTGATTGTTATATTTTTTGTGGGATATATGTTGGTTATGTATAGGTGTGCATAGTCAATTTAAAGTTCAGTAATGCTAGTTAAATTAATTTTTTTAGACAAACTTATAAATCTTATAACATTTCACTTATAAAAAATAAACATGTTATTTTTTTTTAATCTTCAACAAACACGTTAATATTTAATTTACACTTTAAAGTCGTTTTTGTTGGGAAGCTGTTGGGCAGTCTTGTAATATAAAACACAGAACGATAAGATGTTGATGGACATGACTTGAATCCAAATTTCCAATCAAAAAGAGACAAAATCAGGACTAGTGTACGTTTTTATGTCAATTGTCAAATCAAATCAAAGTGTGGTATGTAATTAGCCACCAAACCTAACCAAACCAAGCACGTACTTGATTATAATTACCAGATTAATTTTAGGGTTCATCATTAGGCCACACACTAAAGAGTAGGTGGTCCATCAGCACCATAACACTTTAGCACAAGCATATACACTATAGCAGACAAGGCAGAGCAGAAAAGCTGAGGGGGGGCAGGAGGGCATGGGGTTGGCTTTTGGGCACGTCTTTTAATTGGGGAGAAATGGTTCTGGCTTCGTTTCAGAAGTATACTGATTGTGACTGGGACGTGGCTGGTGTTGAATGGCAAGTGTGAGGTCATCCCTCCCTCGGATGAGAATCCTCTGCGAGAATTCCAGAGATCATTTTTTTTATGATCGTTTATTATGCAGTTAATTTTCATTATAAATGATTTATGTTTAATTTTAAATAAAAAATTTAAAATAATTTTTATTTGCATGATAACAAATAAACAAATACAATAAAGTAATTCTTGGAATCGTCACAAAAAAAATCCGGATATGATTTTATTCCCCCTCCATCGATCCCTTTCCCTTACTATTTGTAAACTTGTGTGGTGTGGCCATTGAGCAAAGAGAGATTCCTTTTGGCCCAACAGAAATAACGATTCTTGCAATTCCCATTTGTGGGGGTTGTGTAACTTGGTTTCTAGGGGACTTCAAGTAAAACATAACTTTAGGATTTTAGTTTAGTAAAAAAGAATGTTTGTGATGTTAGAATCTAAGTCATGTTTGTAAGAAGGAGAAAACCTATTTTTGCTTCTAATTATGCGTATTTTCAACACCATGAGAAAGTTTAGATTCATTTTTTACCTCATGTTATGATTTGAAAATTCAGCTTGGATCACAACGAAAGAAAATGCACCAAAAAGTCATTTTAGGCCGTCAAGCACATTGCACCAAGTATTGTCAATATATATCAAGCAGACATTTCATTGAACACTTTATTGGTACAAACAAGTTAAATGATTCCTAATAAACCTTCATATTTATTATTCCCATCTAGACTTTCACATTTGTTATCAGAACCACCCATGATACCTTAATGGATCCACCCTTGCTCGTGATTAGGTTACCGTCGTGAGTTTACATTATTATTTCACCTTTTCCCTGCAAAAAAAAAAAAAAAAAAATATCATATGACCAGTATTTTGGTTTCGCACTAAGATAACATTGAACAGATATACAAGAAGCTGTTCACGTTTTTTTCTCCATTTTAGTTTCTTTTCTTTCAGTTTCACCCAAAAAGTAAACAAAATCTTCAGATCAATACTTAAAATCAACAATCGGACAACAATTCAATGGAAAGATTACTAATTATTCTCTTTAATTCAATTACATGTTTCAATATTTCATTACAAACTCGGCTAATTGCACTCGCATCACAATCTCAATGTGCATGGAAATATAAAATAAACTACGTATACAATTCATCACGATCCGGTTGGTGTGTATACAAAGTGACAATATAAGAGACTTTTTGAAAAGTATAACTCTTTATAAACTTTCGGCCGTCTTATATTTCCTACGCAGTAGTCTTATAATGTTGGTACAAAATTAACGTCAAACTGTTGTAAGTGCAACAAAAAGAGTGAGAGAGGACTGGGACCAATGACTTCACACCGTGCAACGTGGTACGGCAGCATGACATACTCGGATACTCCACTGCATCACACTAATTACACAGAATCCATCAGGTGACGTGTACTTGGTTGGTTTTCTTGCAACCATTTCAAATATATACCATGAAACGTTTAATCTTACATATGAGGAGTCCCAAATCCAAATTAAAAGCATGATTTCACGTTTATGTGTATTTAATAATTGTTAATCAGGGTGGTGGACACATGTCGGATTAGGATGATATAAACTTGAACTATAAAAAATCAGTCACAAAAATTGAACAAAGATAGATAAAATACGAAAACTTAGGTATGACAGTATGACCATGTAGATATTCAAGCAATCTCACAAAGGAATATGCTTCATTTTATTTAGGTATCGTTTCGTTCGGCTTAGGTACAACTTTCAATACATACGATCAACCCTTTGTAAGATTA